TCATATTTATCATCTATTCTAAATTTTTGGAATTGTAGTTCAACATTTATTAAACTCTTCATTCCAGGTGCTGAAAAATTGATTTTTGTTAGCATTTAACATTAAAAGATATCAATTTCATTCTCTTCTCCAAAATCTAAAATTAAACTAACTATGATCATAATCATATTCACAAAGTGTTGTTACCCTTCTAACTTTGTTTGCTGGAGGGTAATTATAAATATAACAAACAAATATATTTGTATTAAAATTACTACAAGGCTGTAATATTGGAAAATATTCCTAAAAATTTAAGTTACTAAATTTGAATTGTAATTATTTTTTATGTTGAAATTGAATACTGTTAGAATAATTATAGTTGATTTGCAAGTAGACGGTATATGTTTTTGCTTATTTAGATGCCAACAGAGGTATGAACAACACTGATCAATTTCAAATAAGAGGCTAAAAGCTAATGGCATTGTTCCATATGATTTAGATTTAATAGTATATTTCCATTTTCCTTTACGAATTGAAATTTCTTTTATCTCTGTAATAGGAAATAGCAGTAAAATTTAGTTCATAAATAAAGGGATGCCACAAAAAACGTCCACAAATTAGTTCTTTTACCCTAAGCCTAACCCAGCCCTTGGCTGAACCTAACCTTTTCCATTACCCCTAACCCTTAGAGAAGACCCTCCTAAGTACAAATCAGTTGCTCTCTTCTTCTTCCTAACCATTTCTCAATCCAAAATCTAGTCTTGAAATTTCTCATTTGTGGACGTTTTCTGTCGATCCCTTAATAAAGCAATTGAAAAAATACCTTTAAAATCAGTGTGTGTGCAAAATATTCCACTTTCATTTGTCATTGACTTTGAGTAGTTGTATTGAAATTTGAAAGTATTATTGTTTACTAATAAAAGCACTTTTTGAGTAGATTTTAGCTTTAGTTCCAATTTAAACATTTGATTCATAGAGAATAATGTTTTCTCGCATATTTTCTTTTTGTTCAATGTAGTCAATGTAAATATATCAAAGAAAGTTTTCTGTTTTCTTAGATAAACCTTATGCAATGATGGTTGGGAAGTTGGTATACTTAGGAGATCTATTTTAAATTTTAAGGTTTAGAATTTATTGTCAAATCAAATAAATCATAATTTTTGCCAACATGGAAAATTGATTTTGAAACATTTCAAAATAAATTTTGAATGTCTCTTCAAATAGTTACGAATTTTCTTGCTGAAACGAGTCACTATACAATTATAAACATTTTAAAGGCCTATCTTTTATTTACAGATAACAGCATTTATTTCTGATGGAAATTATTTTAAAGTAACCTTTTACTATATTATCACTTTTATATGAAATTCCATACAAATCATCATATCCTAGAAGTTTACAAATTTTTGACAAAAATTGCACATCATTATATTGTACGTTGACATAAGAGGTTTGATTTTCATACAAAATCTTTAATTCCCCTTCAACATACTGTTCAGTTTCATTAACATTATCCAAAATATAGCTTGTCTCAATGTCAACATTTTCAGCTTTACTCAAATAACAAAATAATAGAAATATTATGAAAATTATTGTATGCTGTAGCATTTTATGTACTGAGAGAAGATTGTCTTTTATAAAATGTCAGCTCTTCAAATCACTTTTAAAAAATATATTTAGATTTGACATTTTCCAGAATATATTTAATTTGAAATATTTTTAAATATTAATTAATTAATTAATTTGAAATAAATACTAGTCTAAAATTATCCAAGAACAGGTGTTTATGAAATTGAGAATAGTTGAGTTATATTACGAATTGGACAAAGTAATTAATCATGATCCAATTAGCTTTAGAATAGAAAGAGGTGAAACTATATCATGGGTGAAATTATATCATCTCAATTATTGATATAAAATGAAAAGCAAAATAAGATTAAGGAAACAGTTAACTGCAAAAGATACAAAATATAAAAAATTTAACTGAGCATCTTTGTTTTTGGTTGTCTTACTTCATACCAAAGTGTTGCTACACTGGCTTATCTTAAACATTATCATTGTGTTCACATCATAAATTATGTTATCAGTAATAGAACTGGCGTTAAAACATATTTTTAAGGCGTTAGTATTTTTATCTTGAACCAGTAATCTGAATAGGGGGAACACAATTTCTTCCAGGTACATCACAAACTAACATTGCAATATCTTATCTCTCAGGTGTCCTCCTGCAGTACATTGTGGGTTTATGTTTACAGTTTTTGTTGTCTTAAAGATTTTGTAGTTATTTTAGTTTTAGAAGTTGCAACAACACCTGGTTGTTGATAGATTCAATTGTGAATAATGAAATTAATCCAATTTGCCAATATCTGTGTTTGGCCAGATGTTATTATAATTTAGTTTTTCAATCAAGAATGAATTTGAAAGAAATGACAAATAGTGACAACAAAAAAAACTAGTAAAAGAATAGAAGAAGATATTATCCTGAAATTTAAAGATAGCATTGAAGACATTCCAGAATTAGAATCAATACAAAGAAAAGCTTCTAGATACAAAGAGAGTAAAAGACCAAAGCACTCAAGAGATTTTATAAGTAGTGACATATCAATACAATTGTAAAGAAGTAGCCAACTACAATACGCCAAAAAATAGACCAGCTGAACATAATGATTTGAAATTTCAACTTGATTTAAACTTTTGAAGAAGGATATTCATTCAAACAATGAAAGAATATTAGTTCTTTCATCTGAACGTCAGTTAAAACTCTTGACTAAGACAAAAGATATGGTACATGGATGATCCCTCATACTTTGATTATAAATCAATTTAGCAACATAAAAAATGACTTAGCTGAAAGAAATGAACTTGGTGATTTAGTTGAATATATTGAAGACAACTGGAATAAATGGCTTCTAGCAACTTCGTCTGTTTTCAACCAAATAGTCAGAACCAACCACGGTTTAGAGGGTTTTCATCATAGATTGAATAAAAATATAGGTTCAAACTTATTTGAAATTGAAACAGAAAACAGCCTCAGGCAGTAACAAAATTAAATGTTTGGTATGAAACCCCAAAAGGCAACCAATTTCAATCAATGAAAGTAAATGAAAAATTTACACTCTTACAATGTACCCCATACTTCCAAAAGGGAGAATAGAGAAATACCTGAAGAAAGCCACCCAAAATTCCACTACTGGTAGGGTGAAACTGGTAAGAAGTTGTCCATATCATTTAGACAGAGAGAGTGAAAGTTGGGGTACAGTATTATATCTCTGAAAATTCTTCTGAAACATTTCTCTCTCAAATACTCAATTAAAACTAGTCAACAGAAGAGAAATACTATGTCAAGTTTACTTAAACGCCCTCTCATTCTTCCTCTCTCTGTCTCTCTCTGTCCTTGTCCATTGAAGACTGTATAGGTGGAATCGGAAGGAACATGTAAGTTTGTTTAAGAATCAGGAATATGCTTCCCTGTTACTCTGGTGTTGGGAAAAACTTGTCCAGAATTTGTATGTTAGAAGCTAATACCTCAATTTTTCACTCCAATGATTGTATCTCCTCTAATCATCTGCGAAGAGCATTTGGAAAGACTCTCAGTTGGAAGAAGCCTCCTACTTGGGTAAAGAACAGTTGATATTGGAACACTTGATCCAACTGATAGTTAATCCTTAGATAGCTAATCATAAGGACCATTTAGAGTCAGTTTGATGAAGTTTTTGTGTTTTTCAATGAAAACCACCTGTTTTGAAGAAATTTAATTTCACTACGCTGTTACTTTTCTATAATTAATGTTGTTAAAAATTGTTTTATTTTTGGATGATTTAATGGACTAAAAACAAAAAACATATATGATTACTTCACTGTAAAGCAGTGAAGCATCTTTACTTGTTTTATTAGTAGAGGAATCTTTTCCAGCAATAGCCATTTTAAAAAGATGAGAATCCTGTTGACTGCCCCAAGTTCGTACTTTCCCGCCCTGAGCTTGTAGGTAAGTACTGGTCCAATAGAACTAAATTAGGAATAAGCCATTCAGATAAAATTAAAATCCATCAAAGAACAAAATTTATTATTCTATTCTTATTGAAAATTTCAAAATCTGTCTAGGTTTCAGAGATTTGGATATTTCTTATCCTAATGTATTTTTCTATCACTAAAGAAAAACTTCAAATATCTTGTTCATTTAAAAATGGTCTTTTGTCATCATAAATTAATACAAAAAGATGAACTAAATTCTATTTCCTGGATTTACAGTTTTTCAAGCGATACTAATAAAGCTTATAGTTTATATACTCTTTCAAGGGTTGATAGTTCACAAACACAAAAGTAACATTTTAAGACATAGGAAAGTTGTAAATATGGTCAGTCATGTTTTTATTGTTTTCCTTTTCTAAACAATAGTTGAATTTCTCAGGTTGGAGAGTTACATAACATGAAACAATTTTAATACGACAAGTATTAACCCTGACAAAACAAGTTCTTTTTGTTCCATAACCAATGTTCAAGATAAGAAGCTTTCATATATTTTTTACCAGTTTTATTTTTATTTATCACTATCTAATTATTTGTAGCCAAGAACCCAATTTAAAATGATGACTCATTTCTGAAACATTTTTTTGGAATAGGCCTATCATTTTACACTTTTAATATAAATACTGTAGGATTACTTTAAAATAATCTCAATAACTCAGATTATAACATGTACTTTTGTTGTTGACAAATCAACAGCGGTTTCTCGAAAATGTTACCTAGGCTGTTTATAATCAATCTTACGTCTGCTATTTCCGTATCCGGTTTAATACGAAAGTAAGAAATTTCAGTTATATCATTGTTTTACAAAACATGTTTTCAATTGTTTGAATCAGTGAAAAATTATGTAATATTTGTTTCTATTCATTTTGGAATAACTTCTAATACAACCTATTTTTTCCATATATTGACCAATCCGGAAATGGAATTCTGACTCTGCCAGTTGTCACCAGGGTGCTGTTGGAAATAATACACAAGCAGAGTTAAAACATTTACTTTTCAGCACAGATGTAATTTCTGGCTAAAAATTTATTACGACATATTAATTGTGCTTATCAAAGAGATTGTTGGAATAGCACATCAATATTGAAAAATGGTTAAGAGGTGAGAATTTCTACTTTCACATTAGATTAAAATATTGGAATTTAAAATTGTGATGATGATTTTTTTGCATAGAAATGCCAAGGGACAACAAATTGACAAGAATTCAGTTTTGTCGTTGATTAATAAGGAGTATGAAGATGAATTAAAGGAAAGAGCAATGCTTCTGCTTATACAATCAGAAATAAATGTAATATTATAATATATATAGAAAAGTAAATTGATTTTCCCCCGATGAGTAATTTTCCTTTATTGTAGGAGTGTGTTTATCAATGGAAAATGTTTGATTGGTCTAACCAAATAGATGAAAATGTTACTTTCTTCAAGGTAATAATAAAACATAAACACATCTACGATGTTTACCAATAAACTTTTGTCCATAGAGTTTTATCGAACAAGTGAACGGGATAGTGAACACAACTCATAATGCCACATCACTCTTTTTTCATGAATGTATTAAATTTAAAAATGAGGAAAGAAACTTCAGTGAAATCTCAGTTAAATGTATAAATGCACTGGATAAAGTGTAAGTCAATATTTCTTTTGTAAACTGGTAAACTTTTACAAAATGCTTTTTTGCAGAATGTCTGAATTTATTAAATCAATACAGGAGTTTGACATGATCATACAAACATTGGTTAAAAATAATGAACTTTTAGTGCATTCCAACTTGCTTGATAATCCAAACTTGTTTATGGATAAACAGACTTCTAAGATTTTTCATGATCACCTCAAAACAGCTTCAGATATGTTATATGATGATCTTGAACAGTTAATAAACCAATTCCTGATCATCTTACTACCAACAACAGAAACAGTCAAGGCAGAAAAGCGACAGGCCACAAAGACTCCCTTTATTGTACGTTTCCTGTGCAGTGAGGCTCTGAAGGTGCCAGATTCAACAGGAATAACTGAAACAAACATCATGGAAGAGAAGCAACAATCTTCCTTTGAACTTCACAATAAAATTCCAAGAAGAGTTTTAGATTGTAATGAAATGATGAATTTCGAATTTGATCTAGGCTTAAAGAAGACTGTTGAAATTAAGGATAGACCGAAAACAGATAAGGATAACGTAGTGGCAGCCTTCAGATATTATTTACATGTTTACTTGAACGAATTCGTGTGGAATAATCACAAATTGAAATTGTTTATTAGTACAAGAGCATTTGTAATCATTTCGCAGACATCACAGGTTGTTCAAGCTAAAGCAACTATGAGCTGGCTTAGATTTTTTGGAGAAGCTGTTGAGAAACCATGGAATGAATTTAAGAATTTATTGTTAGATTATTACCATGCAAATACTGGAAGACATCTAACATCTACACAAATCAACTATTTAAGACATAGATTCAGTAAGTATTGAAAATTTTCACAAATAATATTTTCATTTTTATCTTCAATTTTTTTACCAGTGTTGGAGAATGATGACAGTACCATCACTCTTAATGATCTTTTAACAGTAAGAATAAATACTTTTTGAACATTTCATTTCACTTATCAGAATTTCTTCATACAAATAGAAAAAGTATTCAGAAACACCAAAACAAGATGCCAAAGATAAACTTTATAAAAAAAATTTTACACCATGGCATTGGTTTGCGGCATGCATCAATTCGTCAGGCACAGATAAAGTAAAAACATATTGGGAGGAGAGGTAAGAAGAAGAAAAATTCTTGAGTATTAATTTCACAAAAAACTAATTTGATTGTCTATACAGATTGGTTTATGGTTTTATAAGTAAGGGATACGCTGAACAAATTCTTACAAATCACGATAATGGAACTTTTCTTATCCGTTTTGCTGAGAGTAGAATAGAAGCTTCTCAAAGTGCAACACCAAAAGCAAATTTTACACTGGCTGTGAAACAACAAAATAAAATTTATCATCTACAGGATTTTTTGACTTTTACAGAATTGAATAATAAAAACTTGGATTTATATGATACCCTAAATGAAATCAAAATCTATAAAACTGGAAGAAAACTAGTTGCCCATGGCAAAGTTGTGCTAAATCCAATTGAATCTAATCCACTTGAATTGAAAAGTTTTAGAGACGACGATGACAATAGTGACGAGGAATTAGGTAAGAAATGTTTTTTTATTAATAAAAGGAATTTTAATGTGTTTTTTTATCAGCTGGAGAAGATAATTATAATGCAAAGAAGGTAAAATATGAAGTTCTTCTTAGACCAATTGAAAGGTATATCAATTTTTACCCATTTAAAAAATTGGACAACTGTTTATTATTTCTTTTAAAAAATTTCAGGCATCGGTATACATTTATTCCAGAATGTAATGGTACGCTAGATGGATTTGAGGCACCTACACCTTCTGTGGAAAGCCTGCATTCACAAAATACGCCTTCGCCTTTTTTCCAAGACTCTTCTACAGAAGTTGAAGATGAATTTCAGTCTACGCAATCGGAGAATACTTTACCTGACAATTTCCCTATTTTTCAATGTGGGCAAGGTGAATCATTAGGGAACGTTTATCTAGAGCAAAGTTATTTGGAAGTACAGGAAAATGCCCAACTATTGTCTAATCTAATCAATACTTATTTGAATGACCCGGATAAAACTGAATATGACTTTGTTTAAACTAATAAAGAGGAAATATGAATATAATGGATCAAGATTTAACATATAAATTCAATGGAGGGTTAGGTTAGGATTAACCCTAAAAGTTTTTGAAATGAAGAAAAAGCATTTTCCCAAAATATTATTCTTATGTATTTGGAATGTAATAACAGTGTTGTAATATTTAAACTCAATAAATGTATTTCTCTCTAAAAATAAAGTGTCTTTTTTTTGACATTGGCCATATGGTGGTATATTTTTACTATGCTCAACCAATGACTACTTTGCCATAGGTCAATACTAATTCGAAACTTCTTGGCATTAGTAGAATTAATGTTATGCCTAAAAAAATGATATGATAAGAATTTCATCAACAAGGATGAAAACAAATAGAGGTGAAACCGTTCCCATTGGAGGTGAATCCCTATTTAGGTTTACCCAATTTGAATACTGTAAAGAAATGGTAAGACACATTCAAAATTTCAATAATACCCAGGTATTTATTCTCTATTAAAATCTAAATATTTCAAAGAGTTAGAAGAATATTCAAGTCCATTGCACGTATTGGATACATCATTTTTTGAAAAAAATGTTGTTTTCTGATTCAATATTGTAAAAAATTTTATGTTTTAACCATATTACTTTATTGCAACTTATGCTTGTACTTCTTAAATCCTAACCAAGAAAATGCAATAAGAATTGGCCAAACATAGATCTTGAACTTTGAACCTAATTTTTTTTACTACAATGCATATACATTTTACAAAAATGGTGAAATATTCAATTCTTATGTTTTCTTGTTTAATGCACTTGAAAGGTATCCTTTGAAAAAGTACTAGAGTTCAAAAATTTCAATGTTTATAAAAGCAAAGGAATGTTTTAAGATAAGATGTTCTAAATATGGTCATGTATTCATTGTTTCCTGTCTTCTAAATAACCAGGTTCAAATTTCAAAAGTTGGAGAGTTGCATAAGTATCATATTATATGCATATTATCAGTATCAATCTGTTAAAGATAAATTGCCAAAATTGTCAAAATAGAACTTTTTTGTATCTATAATAAAAAATTATTGATTGCTGTACAGCCAATATTACAAATGAGCATACTATTGTTTGTGAAAATCATTGGGGAAAGTCCAGAGAAAGTGATACTAATGGCAGTATTGTGGAATCAAACAATGTTTTAGTTGAAGATCTTCTAGCTCAACAAAATAATTTTGATGGAGGTATCATTTATCATTTCTCCAAGATCAGATTGTTAGAAAGAAAATTATTCATTTAAAATCTTAAAGGGAATGATTCGGAAAGGAAAAGATTTGCTACTTTTCAACAATTTCTACTACAATAATAAAGAAAAAAGAAACAAGATAATATTCTGGATTTACTGTGTTATGAACAAAGAAACAAATGTTCAGCAACAGCCAGCCGGAAGGGTAACAACTTTTATCCTGGAAAGATTTCACAATCTCATGCAAGAGTACAAGAGTACTGGATTTGGAAAAGAAAATAATGATTAGGAATGAACTGAAAAATGCCTGTAATAAAGATATCATTAGTTCAGAAAACATTTAGATGGAGATGTTCTGGTGAAACATTGCAGTTCTAGTGAAGTTATTCCATCTATAGATAATTGTACATATCTGGAAACTTGGACAAGAAAGCAGTTTAGACCAGCTGAACCTCAAAGTATTCACTTCAATCTGGTTAAAACATTTTTCTTTAATGGGCAGCAGATTTAAATGTGTGAAAGACCCTTTTAATCAACTTTTCTCCATTCATGGATTAATAAATAAAATGGAGAAATAAACAAAATTTCAATGGCATTTTCTTTTACAAGCCTAAAAAGTCCCCTGCTGTTGGACCCATTCGCATAGATAGCATGGATGAATGTGACATATGAAATTGAAGTAGTGCCAGATAAATTGATATGAAACCAAGTTTTAGACTCTACACAACCTTATGTTATGCTTGCTCTTTTAAATGTAATATTGAAATTTACAAAGCATATTTTAAGACATATATATTGTTCTTTCTATGGTACTCATCCATATCACAGCTCCTTCGAATTGTTATTGTTATTATATGCAAATGTACTTTAGGTAGAGATTAGGTAACAAAATACCAAAGAATATGTATTGAGTAAAGTCAGATCACCAAGCCGAAAATTGTTGGTAATGAAGGAGCAATTGGCAATAGTGACGCAGGCATTTTGGTCTTGTAGGCAATTTCTTTGTATAATATCTGTGAAAAACAGCTTGTCAATTGAGAATCAAAAAAAAATGCTCTTCAATAGCTAAATGATATTATTTTTGGCTTATGCATTTATTAGTAGAAACACTTTACTGGATTAAGCTAATGATAAAGTTGTAAAACTTGCTCCTTTCTCTTTCAGAATCCTCTGAATGGTTCTTTTTGAAATAACCAACCCTAAATTTCCCACAATTTTGTTTGCAGTTGCGAGCTCTTTTTTTTCTTGGTATCTTCTTGTTCTGCTCCAAATTGAAATTATTGGTATTGCCCATCTAATAGTATGCTAGTACTCATGCAAATAGAATCATAAGTTCATTTACAAGTGTAAGTATATAAATGATATTTGTCCAATGTTTTATATTAAACTTAAGTGTTTCTTACTTTAACATATGATTTAAATTCCTCAGACGAAATGGTATCATAATAATTGTCAACATTACAAAATTGAACTTTACAATGAACACCGTGGTCCAAATTTCCAACATGAATGGCTACATTAGCATCATTTAATTGTAGATTATTTGTAATATTGTCAATGATTGAAGCTTGTTGTAGCAAAGTGGTAGATTTTATAACAATACCTCCAATTGTCCATTCAACATTAGGTTATTCATCTTCTGTAGAATTATTATCAAAACTATTAAGTATTTAAATGAAGATAAACAGTTTGAAAAAAAAAATATGGGGTCAACTGAAAATGTTCCTTTGCATCTATGGAAATAAAGATAATCGATATTTATATATATTAAAATGGGTTCTAAGATGTCATATTGCCAGAGAAGTTTGTGAGGTTAGGGTTTAATAACAATAATTACACTAATACCTTAGTGAATAAAGTCATTTGATTGGATGTTATTACATCTCTATCAGATTTTAATAACAAATTATTTATTTTAATTTAATTTTTTCAGAGTTTTTAATTTGAAAATGATCCAGTATTTTGCTGCCTTTGATATGGCATGCAATTGAAACTCTACAGTGACCTTCCCATAAAAGCTGTTAAACAAGGATGCCATATCTATATTTGTTTATTGAAAAATTACATGCAAACTTTTTTATTAGAGAAAAACAATGATATCCTAGTTTAACCAGATGACAATGGTGATACCATATGTAGTCGGTGAATGAGCAGTACAACGCGTTAAAGATTTAACGTATTTACTATATTTACTAGTAAATATACAGCAGTAATAATAAGTAATAACGTATCGAAAATGATAAGGGGTAATGAAATATGGTTAGGTTTAAAATATATATAACGTAAGGTAATTATAAAATAACGTAAAGGAAATTTGGCTCACAGCCAAATTTAGGCGAAGTACCCATCCACTACACCATATATGGTATGAGTTCATACTCATCTCAAGAAGAAATCAAAAGTGTAACTGTTTAGATGATGATTTAGTGATTATATTAGATGAAAGACAATTATAGCTGACATGAGTCTCTAGCTGTTTGTATCTGATTTTTTCTTTTCTCTTTATCTCGATATATCTGTGTTTATTTCCAACTTTGAGTAACTTGAACATTTAGCCCCTTTGCATTGTATATTTCTAATACATTGTGGTAGGTTGTATTTCTCTTTGGTTGAATAATTGCTACTACTTTTACTTACAATACTAATTCAAAACTTAAAAAAGCTTAAATCTGCATAACAATTAAACAAGAGAAAAAAAATGTTTTAAAAATAGAAAAGAAAGTAAGAATGTGTCTTCCACAATCTTTTATTCAGTCTCCTGTCTTCATAAGAGAAAGAGCCAATTACAAACAGAAATAGTGATCATATTTCAAACGAAATGGATTATACTGAAATTCCTTATCCAACAGACATCAAATTGAGAATAGCAAATAGAGAGTGGGCTAATTCTTATGGAGAACAGGTGACCTATATTTTTTATAATATTTTCTATACTTTGGAAACATTTCCATGGGGTCAAGTATCAAAGTTCAATTTAAATGAATCATTTCCCAATGATTGTGTAAGACATAGCTTATGAAAACACTACATTTATGGGTGTTTTCTGTCACATCATATTTTATTTTACTTAAAAAAATTCAGATTTCTATTTTTACTTTCACTTTCTATTTGTTAAAAACCTGTCTTATGTTGTAGACCTATAACACTTTTGTGAAATACAATAATAGGTAAACACAGATGAACCATACCCTTCTCCATTGACAAAAGAAGAAGCTCTCAAAAACTATTGTTTTAAAGAGTTAGACAAAATTGCTTTAGAGGCAATAACACCAATGATTACGAAAAATTCTTTATCTCATCTAGTAGATCATTTAACAGCAGTTTGCAAAGATGAAATGGAAAAACTTCGAATAATTTTTCGCTGGATTACTTCACCAAAATTAAAAGACATTGACACCAATAATTTACCTTTTGGAACAGTTGGATATGAAATACAAAACATATTAGAAACTGGCAGAAATACTGCACTTTTTACAAAACTTTGCAGGTGAGAATGGGCTAAATATAATACTTTTATATCAAATGTACTATTCAAAATATTATACTTCTGTTAGCCTAGCAAATCTTTCTTGTGCTACAGTTTGGGGCATTTATAAAAGCTTTGAAAATGATAAAACAGGCATTTGTAAATGGACTATTGTTAAAGTTTCTAATAAATGGTACATATGCCATCCACATTGGGCATGGTTTCATACAATAAGTGATATGGAAGGGTGGACTTTAATATCTAATAAAGACAAAGTCAAACATTCAAAGGATGAACGAGTTTATGTATTTAAAGAGGAATACTTTCTTTCTAATCCAGAACAATTCATATTTCAATTTTTCCCTGACAATCCTAAAAATCAGCTGTTAGCTCGTTCATTTACAAAACAAGAATTTCTTGAAGCAACCATAATACGGATGCCATTTTTTAACAATGGCTTGTCAATTCTTTCTCATCCTAGACAAACCATTGAAACAAACAAAGCCAATAATGAAATCATATTTGGTATTAGCAAGAATTTTTATTGTGACATAAACTTTTATTTATATATGTTGAATGGATCAGCTTGTGATAATAAGAATGAAATGGTGGTGACTAAAGATGGTCAAATCAAAACATATTGTATTGCTTTTGTTGAAAGGAAAAGGGATAGATGTGTGATTTGGCTGAGGCTTCCTTTTCCTGCAAAATATCAATTTATTATATGGACAGCAACAAAATTCTTGTGTGCTTACATAATTAATTACCAGATCCTACCAGGCGAAGAAATGCCAAAACAAAAATTGTTTTTTCCAAAAGCTATTTATAATAAAATGGGAGAAAACAATATTACGAGAAAACTAAATTTCTCCAATTTTAATCCACAAACTGGAATTGTGAACTGTGATGAAAATGGATATGCAATTATTGAATTTAATGCCAATACTGAGGAATATTCTATAACTTTTAAACTTTTAAGTAATGATATGGAGGAGACAGAATTAAGAAAGCATTGCCTGACAACTTTTGAGTACAACAGAGCCTGTATAAGAGTGTTTTTACCTAAAAAGGGAGAATATGTTCTAAACATATATGCTAAGAAGAGATGTGAAGAAGGGGATTATTCAGGCTTATGTTCCTTTATGATTGTTTGTAGAAATGATCCAAAAGTGCAAATTCAAATTGCGGCTAAACAATTGAATATCCCAATTGGACAATATGAAAAATTTCAGATGCATCAATTAAAGACAGAAGAAGGTTTTTTGCCTTTACAACATGTCTACAAATCAATTGATTTTAGATTTTATAAATTAAAAGAATGTGAATTTTTGTGTCATTTATTTTACACCTGTTCATCTGCAATTGAAACTGAACTGGATAGATATCAATTTCATATCAATAACAGAACTGAAGTTAAGTTTATGGTCAAATTTCCAATGCCAGGTATTTACACTTATGATATTTATGTAAGAGAGAGCAACTCAACAAGCAGTTATGGTCTAGCCTACAGTTGTGTGTTTGTTGTAAGCCAAGGATTCAATGAAAGTTTTGAATTTCCCAATATTAAAAACCCTTGTTTATTGATGGAACCATTTCACAAACTATACTACAACACAGATGTTAAATTTCAAGTAAAAATTCCAAATGCAAAAAAAGTTGCTGTTGTTAGATCATCAGATAAAGAATGGTTTCATGCTGATTGTATTAATGATAAATGGAATGTTATGGGTAACACTGGAGAAGAATCAGGAGTGTTGGATTTGTATATAAATTTTAATTCAAGTTCAAACTCATATGACTGGTTTGGTAAATTTAAAGTAAGAAACTAAAAATTGTTGTTTGAGACAAATAATTCAAGTGTTTAGCAAAATAGACAAGAAAAGTTCATTTTTTTTCCAACTTTAGATTTATAAGAAGAATGATAAATCATTGAATGAATCTGAAGAACCTCCATTGCCATCTTTCATTAATGCAGTATTAATATATCATTTACATTTCCTCTAATGTATTTTAAGTGAATAATCATTTTCAATTTTTCCAGATTGAAAATATATTTAAAGTTCATAACAAAGATTGTAATACTCTAGCAGAGAGTATTCAAGCTATTTCTCTTGAAGAAAATCAACAATCTGCCAACTATTGGATAAGTGTTTTGAATGAAATTCTGGGAAGTAATGAAGTGGATGATGTTTGCAGAAGTCTGGATATAAAATCAAAAACTGAAATTCTGAATGAAAAAGTGTTGAATTGTGATCCCAGATGTTTGGGAGAGTTGAGTACAATGTTGAACCCTTCATCTGATGTTGATGCCGCAATAAAGTCACTGCTTCTAATTTTAGGAGTTGATGAGTCTGAGTTAGATAATTGGGAAAACTGTCAAAAGCATCTTCAATTGTATACTGCAAAAGGTCTTTTGTACAAAATTCGAGAAGTCAACCTTTCAAATATTAACCCAGCTAAGATTGAAAAGGCTAAACATTTAGTAAGGGAATCGGACTTTAATAGTGTTCTTAGAGAGAGTAAAGGTGCAGCAGCACTTTATGCCTGGAATCGTAACAGTCTTTTATACATTGATCATTGTAACTCCAATTATGAAGGATCTTTCGCTTGAATGACAGAACACAACCAAAGTTTCATAATTCATGTATCGGTGCAATTGAAAAGTCTTAATAATGCCTAATCTCAATCTATAACCACATAAGCTTTTCAGATTACTATTAATCCATCTTTTATTTCATGAAATGCATTTCTGAAGATTTTCAGATGTCTGATTTCTAACTGTAGAATCTATACAGTAATGTTAGATTGAACACATTTACTTAATACATATTCCTTTGGCACAATTTTGAAATTTCTATCATACTGTAGTAATAGTTGGAATATTATTAATTCTGAAATATGATATTTGTGGGGAACAGATGAAGCCATAGTGGGGTTAAACCATACCTGAGTGAAATCATACCCATTAGGGGTAAAGCTTTACTCATGAAATTCTAGCCATTTCTTTTATTAATACCAAAGAAAAGCAGGTATAATACTAAGAATGTGTTAGTGAAAAACATTTAAGAATTCAAGATAAAAAATATCGAAGTATTTACTATCAAAGAAAGAGTACTATGAAGCATAAATGATGTTTGAACTAATATTGCATTAGCCAGTTAGGGTTCAAATCTTTATCATTTATGTTATTGTGTCATCTCTTCACACTGTTATTAGTCCCTGTAGATAATTCATAAATAAACCAATTCTCCATATACTTTCATTTTCAAAAATTAGTCATAAAAAAGCCATGATGCAATTGGCAAGTAAATAGTTAATCCTGGGAAAAATTGATTCAAGTTTTAACAACAACCTTGAAAATGACATTGTCAACAATAGTTGTCAGAATATGTAATGCTACATTTGATATATGCAACAAGTATTCTTAGGTTTCTATTATGTTATATAGAAAAATTGAATATTTCAAAATTAGCATGATAACTAAAATATTTTGAACTATAAATTTCCATATTGCCTTTTTGGTTACAGTGTACTCAATCAGTATGATAGACATGAATAATATTAATAGGCCAGTATCAAAAATAAAATTTGAATATGGCATATGGTCAAGTAATTAAGGCATTAATCAAGAGAAAACATGAAGAGGGATTATCCTATGGAGAGATTTCAGAATTATTGAAAATTCCAAAATCTTCTGTTAAATTCATTCTGAAGCCATCATACCAAAAAAGTGGAGGTGTAGGGAGACCAAGCTCCCTTTCAAAAAGAGACAGAATCATCATGAAGAGGGAGATTAAAAAGATGAAGGAGGAAAAAAACAATGGGTTACAAGTACAAAGTTGGCATCCAAGTGCAACTTAATAGTATCAAAGACGACCATACAGAAAGCCCTAAAAGAAATGGGAGGGAAATTTAAAAAAATCCCTCTAAATCCCCCACTAAAGAAGAAAAATAGACTAAGATGAGTAGAAATGTGTAGAGGCTGGTTTGAAAATAAATTTGACTTGGACAAAACAATTATATCTCATGAATGTAGATTCAGCTTAGATGGGCCAAACAATTTCCAAACATGGCAGTTCAACCCAGAAATAGAAAATCTAAGAACAAAGCATCCAATAGGTGGTGGAGGAGTAATGATCTGGGGATGTATGCGGCCAGATGGGTTCTTGCACATTTCCAGGATCGAAAAAAAGTGCACAAAGGAATGGTACTTGCCTCTTTTGAAAAAAAAGGTCATGCCATTCCTGAAAAAAAGATATGGGAAGAGTTTCATCTTCCAACAGGATAATGCTCCTTGCCACAAAGCCAAAATTATCCTAAAATATTTTAAGACTGAAAGGTGCAAAGTATTACCTCGGCCAGCTTACTCCCCAGATCTTTCCCCCATAGAGAATGCATGGCACATGTTGAAGAATCTTGCATATGACGGCCCCCAATTTACTAAAAAGGATAATTTGTGGCGGATGTGGTAGAAAACGGCCATAAATCTATGGTTTTACCCTAACCCTAACCCAGCCCTTGTTTTTGCCTAACCTTTTTGAATACCCCTAACCCTTAGATGGGACCCTGCTAAGAACATATCAACAGTTATCTTATTCCTCCTAACCATTTCCCAGGCTGAAATCTAACTTTCAAATATTTCATTTATGGCCGTTTTCGACAGGTCCCATTTGTGGCACTCTATTCAACAAAAATTGGAAATTTTGAATAAAAGACGGAAGAAGGATTTAATCGCCCTTCATAAGTCCCTGTTAAAGTGAGGATTAACTTGCATTCAACAAAATGGCTTGAAGCTAAAGTACTAATATTTATAAATGTACGTTTAATTAAAAAATTAATAAATAAATAAGATATAGGGGGTGTATGAAAAATTTGCTTGGCTTTTCCAAAAAATTTCCATACAGAATTATACATACTCATGAAAATATACAAATAATTTGTAAACTAGGAGAGGTAGAGAGTATCTGAAAACTATTCATAAAACTAGACAAAAATTTCCTACAAAACTTGTCCCCTTCTTTGGGGAAACTTGTCCCCTTATATAGTAAGAGAATTCGAAAAGAATGTTATAATATATTTAATAAATGGAGAAATAAGTAAAGTATTTAAAGGGAAATAGATAGAAATTGAGAGAATTGAAAATAATTCTATTGAGAATAAATATTGGCAGTTTTCTCCAATAGATTCAATGAAGTTATTTTTCGTTGTTTATATTCATCCCATATCTTGAAAATATTATTCTGTTTCTTGATGCTTAATTTTTTTTGATATTTTTTCAACTTCTTTTCTGATAGAAGCTTTTGAAAGACTGGAATTAGAGATGCTTCATGTTTCAAAAAATCAACTAATAAATAGAAACAAGTATTTGGCATAGCTTTTACATTGAGTCTTCTATGCCATCCCTCAACATCATTGTTAGTATGAATGCTCATTCCAAATACAGACCAACTATCTGGAGTCCAAATTGAATTTTTAATCTAAGTCTTTTCCACATATTCATATAAATCTGTATATACATTTTTCTCCAGAGCTTCTCTTTTTAAGGTGGAAAAAGTAGGTGGAATGACTTGAGATGGAAGGAAAGGCAGGGCTAATAATTTTCTCATCATATTTTTTGCATCTTTGCTAGTTTTATAGTCAGTTGCATATCCCAAATTCTAAAAATAGAAACAATTTTAAACAATTTACATTAATGTTAGAAACTGACTTGTATTTTTCTGAAAACAGCCTGTGTCCAATGGAACACACATCCTTGAATTGGTACATCTGGGTATATAGATGATAATGCAGTCCATAATCCTGACTCAAAATCTGCAACAAACTTTTTAGGATTCCAATAGTTTGTTATTGTTTGAATTTCCTGCAAAATATGTTCAAGTTATGAAGTTAGATGAAATATTTGATGACTCACCTTTAATACAAGTTTATATGCTTTCTTCTTTTTTGAAGTCATAAAGATGAAAGCTAAGGGAATCTGCTTGGCTTCATCATCTTTTTTAATAAATGAATGGATTGAGAAAAGTTGAACAAATGGTTGTTTAACAACTTTAAAAGTTCCATCAAGATACCAAATTTTACTTTCTGCTAATATGTTGCATTGTTGCTGTGAAGCAAATATAATAATTCTTTCATTTTCAAATGAGATATCCTTCTGAAGAAAATTATCAGGAAGAAAATCAACATTTATTTCAAAAAAAGGATCATTTGATTCAATAGGCCTGTTCTTTTGCCTTGTAATGTTAGCTAATCTTCTCAAATTCTCCAAATTGGGTAAATTGTTTTCCTCAGGTGAACATTTCAATAAAATATCTTCAGCAATTTTTCTACCTGAAGATATGACATCATTATCACAAACACTTTTCATTTCTTTCCTACATTTTATGTTTGTTATTAAACTTTTTCTTCTGTCATGATTATGACTTTGAGGACCTGGCACAAAAGCATTTCCTTTTTGTTTGACTGTTGCAGGACAATGAACTTTTTTATTTCTGACACTACATCTCCAAATTATCATATTCTTGCCTCTTTTCTTTAACTTAAATGCTAATCCATCATATGATAAAATATCCTTTCCTCTCTGACTTCCACCAAGCAAAACTTTAAACTCTTTATCTACATATGTTGCTTCTTCTTCTTCCTCTCCTTCATTTATCTCCTTATAATTCTCATGATCCATGTTAGTATCTATTTGCATTTGTTCTTGATTTTCAGACAAGTGATTCTCATTCATAGCTGCATGATTTTCATTTTCACCACTCATCTTTAATAAGTCTTTTGTGTTATCATCATGATTCATGTAAGTATCAGTATGCCCCTGCTCTGGATTTTCAGAGGGACCATTCTCACCCAAAGCTACAATATTTTCATCTTGATCCACTCTTTTCTGGTTCATTAGGTATCTTGATTTGTTTTTTAGAAATGTTTCACAAACAGTGCAGATGAACTGACTCTGGTCTTTGAAAAAAAGAAGATAATAATACTCAGTTTATACAGATTGTAACACTTACTTTGAAGACACTTTTGATGAAGAATTTGATTGCATATAACACATTTTATTCTTTTTTGTCTGCCATAAAATCGATTTTTACAGCTTGAACAAACAGGAGCCATGTTTCAATTTGATGTTTGACTGAAAAAATGCAATAAAACACATATTTGACATAAACTAATCTACTTATAATAAGCTATAATCTTAACAATATATTCACAAAATTTATATTCTCAACAGACCTCTAATAACTAAGCCAAATTATCAAATTATGGTTATTCACTTTAGACAGTTGTCAACAGGAAGTGAGGAACTACTTTTTTTTCTACCCAATTCTCATTCAATATGTCATTTTTTCAGTTATTTTTATTTATTTCATTATTTATCAATTTAAGGGATAAGTTTTCCCCAAAGAAGGGGAAAAGTTTTCCCAAAAAAAAGGGACGGGTTTCCCACAAAAAGGGGACGAGTTTTCCCATACTCTCAAAATAGCCCTTACAAAAAAATATTCCATCGATTGAAAAATTTCTTTCACCACTGTACAAAGCTGGCTATTGTCAGACCCATTTCCCCCTAATTGTTAAATGTATTTAGAAGAACTAATTAAAGTTTTACATTAATGCAATATTTTTTGCATTGATCTAGTTATTTTAAGTTATCTGGTTGCTCTAATCGACTAATTACTGGATGAAGATTATTGTATTCTCTTGTTCTAGTTTAACTTCCTTCTTCACCATAAGGAACATCTAAACTGCTCTATGCTGGCCATTCTAACCATCCTCCAGGAATTGAGCAATTAGCTTCATAGGATTATAGGAGTTTCATTCTCATCCCGGCCAAAATCATTCATATTGATCATTTAATAGTAACACCAAAGTATTGGTTACATTCAACCTAAGTAATTAGGTCAGATACATTTATAGGTGATCAGCACATTTTGTAATATGTAATAATTTTGGATAACATTCAACTTAACCATTGAACTTTGACTATGTTTTTAAAGTATATGGTTTTTGAAAAAATGCTTATAAAGAACTGAACTGCATATACTTTGTTGTATTGTAATTGTAGGAATTTCTGCTTCTTCTGAACAGTATTCGTCCTTTCCAATCATTTACCAATCTGCCAAAGTACTGCTCCAAATAGAACCTTCCAAATTCGTCCACAAGTAGTTTTAACAAATGTAATTTCGGTAGAAATTACTCAACAAAATGGCAGTATTTCATTTAAAGAATATGTATATAGTAAATGAGTTTCTAGTTCTAAATTAGCAAGTTTAAACAACCAGTTAACCTTTAAGAACTGAACTGCCAAACTGGGGAAATGTATTTTCTTTTATACATTTACCAAAGTTTGGGTTCACTTGGTCAAAAGATTATGAAGTTGAAATGTAACAGTCTCACAATGCACATATAACAAAGACATGAAAAACTATTGCATCACTTCTGGCTAACATGTGGCACTGCAAAAACAAGCCTGCCTCTCCCGCCTCTGTTTTTGAATAAGATGTAACAAGTTTGACATGCAAGTTTTCTATATTGTTTGTTCCATTGTTAATTCTATAATCCAACATCTGTTTTGGTCAAAGAATATGTTTACTACGAAATAAAAGCCTTTTTAAAGTTCTAGACTCTATTTCTACTAAATAAATGTCTTTCTAAACTTCCACCATTATAATTTCTATGAAATAACACTTTTTCTAAACTTCCACCATTATAATTGCTACGAAATAAAAGCCTTTCTAAAGTTCTATAATATCTAAGTCTAAATATTATTATGTTGATGTTTCTAAGTGCACACTGCACATTTGGATTATCATTTTCCATGTGAAACTGTAGAGTTATCACTTATTTCAACAACATTATTCTTTATTTGTGTATACAGTATATTATATTCTAATAGAAAATATTTTTGAAGATAGAGTTTAAGGTTAAGTTATTATTCATAAAGAAAATTTTTCTTATGATGGGATATGTTCAAATTGCACAAATTGAGATTGAGAGACTCAAACAGACATAAACAAATATGGTGAATCCATCTACTTGAATGCCAAACCAGATGTGAACTGAATGTTGCAGTAATGATGAGACAAAGTCAAAACAAGAAATAATTACACTAATATCACTCTTTTCCCATAAAAATTTAGACGAAAAATATGCTTTAGAGCGAACAAACAGTTTTTAATGTCAATTATAAGTTGACCTATCAAAATGTGTCTAAATTTTTCCATTGTTGATTTAATAGCTGCAAATATAGAAAACGAAAGTAAAACAACAATACTAGTCATTGATTCAAAATGGCAGCCAAACAATATATCATTAGTGAAAATGAACTTGAATGTGCAATTTGTTTAGAATCCATGGTGGGAAAGGATCAAAGAATGTTACCTTGTCAACATACATTCTGTTTTGGATGTATTAAACAATTGAAACTGAAAAATTTTAAAATTGTTTGTCCTAAATGCCGACAAATTGTCAAAATAAGATTTGGAAATATCAATCTACTTCAACAAAATCGAATTGTAAATTCTGTTCAAGATCTACTGAATAGGAAAAATCTATGCAAATATCATGGAAAGGAGTCAGATATCTATTGCCAAACACATAGTATCCAAGGATTATGTACTTCATGTTTAGATGGCAATCATGAGACTTGTACAATTTTCTCAATGGAAAAATTTGAACAAATGAAGGAAACATTTAATAGAATTTTGAATAAAAATGAAAAAAGTACAACAGAAATCTTGGACAAAATAAATGAATATGAAAGAAAAGCAATAAAAAAAATTCAGAAAGATTATGATATTATGAGACAAAAGTTTATTTCACTAAATGAACTAATGGTTGAATTTTTTGAAACATTCATTTGTGAATCTGAAAAACTTGAAGTTATTTTAAAAAGATCAAAGAAAGAAAAAATAGAAATTAATACAAACTTTGCAGTTCATTATGAATTTTTAAATAATTTTGATTTTATTGATAATATTGAAATAGAAAACTTTGACAAAAGACAATTAAAAACATTTTTAAAGTTAAAAAACCAATTAGAATATGAGAAAATGAAAATGTATGAAAAAGGTATAACATGTAATGATGTTGAAGATTTGGCAAATGTAATAAAATCAAGGAATATAGGAATAAATATTAATTTTGAAGCTTATAATTTAAACAGAGCACAAACTGAAAATATTGGCAATTTACTAAGACATTGTTCATCAATAGAAACAATAAATCTTACAGGAAATAAAAATATGGGCAATGGAATTATGAATTTTTGTGAAGGACTTCAAATGTCATCAAAAACTTTGAGGAATTTTAATTTAAGTTGGTGTGATTTAAAAGAGGAACAAAGTAGACTGATTGGAAATATGCTAAAAAATTGTTCATCAATAGAAACAATAAATCTATCTGGGAATAAGAATATGGGAAATGGATTGTTCAATATTTGTGACGGACTTCAAATGTCATCCAAAACCTTGAAAAATCTTTATTTGGATTATTGTGATCTTAATGAGGAACAAAGTATATGGATTAGAAGTTTGCTAAAACATTGTTCAACAATTGAAACAAACAATGAAACTACTAAAAATGGATCATTGAATATATTGGAAGGATTTCAAGCGTCATCAAATACTTTGAAGAATCTTCAGTTAGACATTTTTGATTTAAATGAGGAATAAAGTGAATACTTTGATAATCTTTTACAAGTGTATTAAAAATTTGAAAAGCTATAAATGTTAAACAAATTAGAGGAAAATATTTTAGCAAAGTCAACACACCAGTCTACACAAGTTCACAACATTATTACAAATCACACACACTCATATATTGAACTATAAGATATATTGCTAATGAAATGCATTTCATCAAACCTGTTTCTGACTTTTTCAAACTGGTTACAAGTTAGGACTAAATCTTGTGGGTCAATTGTTACTTGTCCAAGTGGCAATCTTCAAAAAACAAGACTTTTAATTTCGCAGCGGAAAGTTTCAGCTTTGGAAATATTGTCGATATATCTAGTTTGCCTAAGGCGTTGCCAAATTATAATTCAATTAGCCTGCATAAATGTTGAACCTTTTAACATCCTGTTGCAAGTGATAAATATAAATTAGACAGTTTTGGCAACTGTAGAGTGATTATTGGATATCAGAAGCAAACCTCAAAGTATATAAATCCTCACTATTTTCATTCCAATCATCATAACTCAATCCAAGCATCTGAGAAGATGATCTTGAAATGACCTCCACCGAAACAAGCATTCTACTCTTCTACTAGCTCAACAATTATACTTTAAAACATTGTATTTAGTTAATAAAATCAAATAATAATAATCATAATTTGTTTTCACCAAATTCACGAAGTTTTCCTTTCTGAATAAGTTTTTGTCCATCTAGAGTTTTCTTAGAATTAAGCATTGTTCTACATTGCTTTTTGGTCAAGGTAATTGTTTTTCAATTCTGTGCTTTTTTGCTCCAAAGAAGTAATAAGTTTGAAAGTTGACTCTGCGTTTACCATACACTTAAGTGCTTGAAATGCCAGTTTTTCAGCTTTTATTTCATAAATATTTGTCATTATTTTGGACATTTGTTGAGTTTCAAAGGTACATACTGGTTCATCAGAAAAATCATAAGATTGTCCTTGACAAAATTGTTTTGGTGGCAGCATTCTTACAGTATTGTTTGCTTTAGTTAATGATGTGTCACTACCAAACTTAAGCAGTCTAATGTTAATAAAGTGCAGACCATTGATCCTCGGATACGACAGAAAACGTCCACAAATCAGTGCTTTTACCCTAACCCTAACCCAGCCCTTAGCTGTACCTAACCCTTTTTCCTTTACCCCTAACCCTCAGAGGAGACCCTCCTAACTACAAATCAGTTGCTGTTTTCTTTTGCCTAACCATTTCTCAATCCAAATTTTTGTCTTGAAATTTCTCATTTGTGGACGTTTTCTGTCGACCCCTTGATCCTCTGGTAGGTAATGCTCCACTGCTTCTTTTCTTCTTTTCTGAGTGAAGAACCGACAGTGAAGGAAGCTAAACAAAGACAAATGGCTATTTTCGATATACAGGAACAAGAAGTTACACACTTCGAGTGTATGTCTAAGATTAAAATCATAGATGATTTTCAATTCAGAATGAGAAATTATAATAGACCAATCAGGAATGGGAAGCTGTTAACAAATGCATTCAACAAAAGGAATGTAGTTCTTATCATAGACAGCTTACAAACCAAAGAAAGTCTGGAAAGCTTGCTATGGGGATGATGGATAAATTCTTAAATTCTTATAGACATTTTAAAACAGAAATCAAGTCTTATTTCAGCTGTAGAGAAACTTAAATCAGAAAAAAGGCCAATGCATATATTAAAAAAAAAGAGTATGATAAATTCAAATTTTAACATTTAAAATTCCTTGAATAAAAATTTCTAAAATGAATGAAATATTATTCAATATTTTACAAACTAGTAAATTTAACATAGAAAATATCATTGATATTTTGAAAAGCAACATAAAATGTAAAATGTTTAAAGGTCATGGATGTCATTTTACTCTGAGCAAAATGTTAAAGTTAACATTTATTTCATTAATAATGTATTTGCAATTTATTAATTTGTAAATTAGCTGAGTCCAAATTAAGGGTTTGGTACCAGGAAGTGCTTAAAATATGGTCCAGGGCTGGATTGGCGTTAAGGTAGGACCACAAAATCGTTTCTGATTAAAAATTTTAAGAATTAGTGTCTATATGCGAATTTAATCTGCAAGTGAAGTAATTGATCATTGTAACAGTTATTTTCTATTTAATCAGTAGTCATTGGCTACATTTCATATATAAATGTTAATAATATGCAATAATTAAATGCAAGTATGAATTTTCAGTGTGATTAAAATTTTCATTGGGGACACAAAATCAATTGAAAAAAAATTACAATGGAATGGTCAACATTACGAGTTTGTGCCCTTCTTTTTGGTGGACTAAACTATTTTTTCAAATGTAGCTTTGCCATAGGTTCTTGCGATATTCCAGTTGATTCCCGTGTAAAAGTAGGAGGTAAACAACCAATAAACTACACAATTGTTTGAAATTAATAACCTTTGTTTTAATCACTTTTTTCTTCAAGATACCGACAATGGAAAGACTACATGTGATGTTGGACAACTATGTCACGAGGTGGGCTATGGCTGCTACTTTAGAACCAGTGAAGTGATTGGTTTTAAAAAATATATAGATGGACAAGATTGTGCTGGTTCAGATATTGGACTCTATGTTGTCTCTACAGTGAAGGAATGTTCCAGGATTTGTCTAGAAGAGAGTCAGTGTGCTGCATATGTTATGGGAATGCCACGTAGTTGCTATTTGAAAACAGATTGTAAAAGTTACTATACTTCCTTAACATCGTATCACCGTATTGCTGATAAAAGATTAACATGCTTTATTGGTGGATATGAAGGATCAGCTGGCACAGCATTCGGCTACTTTCAGAAAGAGACTGTAATTTCTGATGCTAAAAATCAAAATAAAGCGATTGCTTTCACTCCAACAGGCCTATACTTGAAGGTTAGCTTTCTCATTTAAGTAAAAGCCAATTTTAAGGATTATCCCTTTCTAGAAAATGAATTTGAATGAAATTACCAAAGATTATGATAAAAATATTTGCTTTTATGGGAATTTTATTTTCGATGAAAAACTTGGAACAAAAACAGTCTCTAAAGAACATAAATTTTTTGATAATGACGAAATGACATGTGAAACAATTGGAAAAATGCCAATAACAGTTAGATTTCCATGGCCATCAGTGGACAATAGTTTAAGTCAATTTAAAGTTGGTATTAAAGGAGAAAATTTAATTTGTTATTCTGGGTTTCAAGGGAAAGAAATGAATGGAATAATTGTTTATCTACCTTTAGATCATCAAATAAATTCTTCATTCAATGGAAATTTTATTGCATGTAATCTGATTCTTGCCTCTCCAGTTGAATGCCAGTATAATTGTAATTGTGGTGATGACTTTTGTCAAGCATTCTACAGTAATATAAATGATAAAAGAGAATTAATGAAAGTCTGTGAAATAGAAACAATAATGTAAATGAGAAATGTAAATAGATCTTTATTGTCTAAATAAATGACTATTTTCTTTTGCAACTGAATCAATAGTGCTCTCTATATCTTTTCAAATTGCAGAAAAACTTTCTTGTTTTTTTATTTGATTGTTAAAAAACAAATTGTGGAAATACTTGAAATTTCCAGATGCAGTGCTCAAAGAATCTGGAAAAAGTTCAACTTACACAATATAATTGAGAATTTGTCTAAATGTGGCAGACCATGCAAATTAAATGAGCAAGATGAGAGAAAACGGCATTTCATATTGTGCTGCTCTTGCTTGGCTAATTTATGTGATTGCCACTTACAACAGTACTGGTTTTACTCGAACCTTTAAACAAATGATACAAATGAATAGAATGAAAATAGTGAGGATTTATATACTTTAAGGTTTGCCTCTGATATCCAATCATCACTTAACAGGTAATTAAAGATGAACCTTCAAACTGACTAATGAAGACCTGTGTTTGGCCAATGTTATAGCATTTCGTTGTCCTTTTTTTGTCACACAGAGGAGAAGCCAAGGTATTGGTCTGTGTACTCATTGATAGACAGATCAATACCTTGGCTTCTCTATTCTGCTATTGATGTGTTTTTTCAGGGGTCAGGACATTTCGGCCCAGGACAGTTCGGCCCACTTTTGGACATTTCGGCCCATTTTGGACATTTCGGCCCAGAACATTTCGGCCCATTCTAAGGTAATCATACCAAAGGCATTGTGTCTCACTTGAAGATAGGTTTAGTGTACTTTAATTGATAAACATGACAATTATAATTTTTAGTTTTGTGAACAATTATGTTTATTTCTTTAATATAAAAAAAATGTAATTGTACATACTTTTTAATAACTGAAGTGCAGAGAAAGAAATATCAACTTTTAACAAATATTTAAATCAACAAGTCTATACAATAATTCATCCAAACTCAATTCTCTTTCTTCAAATTTACTCCACAACAGCAATATAAAAGTTTTTCTTCTTGCTACTCATCAGAACATAGATCAATGAAACTTGTTGATATTAATCATATTTTTTCAAGAATCCATGAATTGAAAAGAGTTAATAAAATGGATCTCTAACAACTTTAAATATTTCATCAATAAACCAAATTTTACAACATTCCAGTAATTTTATTTGATGATTTGTGCCAAATATAATACAACAATTTTTCTTTTCTTTTATATCTCTTAATAAGAAATCCATTGGATTTTCATTCAGATTGATTTCAAAATCAAAATCTCTAGGATGCTTTGGTCTTTTACTCTCTTTATATGAAGAATTTCTTTCAAGTCCATTCTTGATTGAAGAACATTTTCCAGATTTTTATGCAAATTATGAAGATGATTTTCATTTCTTACAACAAGAAATGTCCTAAAATGGGCCGAAATGTCACTGCACCGTTTTTTCAATATACGGTATTATAAAAGATTAATGAAAACATTTTTCTCTAGCACTTCACTCTTAACTTCATAAAATTTTGAAGTTGTCAATTCTTGTGATGGGTAAGGTATAAACCAATTGTACATTTAGAACAATATATAGTTGTGGACAATTGCCTGATAATTTTATGATTAATGCTTTCATGGTTGATATATTGATAAGTAATTATTAGAGTTGTCAGAAGTTTTATGATTATAAGATAGTTATAGCTACAAAAATCCTTTTCAATAAATGGTTATTACAGTGTTTAATAGTATAACTCTGGATGGTTATGATTAATCTGATTGTTAAGGTTATGGAAAATGGTTAATGAAAACTGAGGGCTAGTTTAAGATAAAATCATAGATATACGAATATTTTTCATTACATCTTATAATCCTTAAGATAAGGATTGGAATGAGCAAGAAATTTCGGTGGTTACAATAGCGCAATACACAAATTATAGGTGATACCATAAACAAGATCTAAAAGCACAAAGTTGTTTACATTACTGTTTTATAATCTTCAATTGTAGTGCTTAATCATATAGTTCATATGTTTTGGACATGCAAACTCATAAATTGATCAAACAAGACAAGTACACTATTTACGATATAATAAATATTTATCCTTATATAGTTTTATAACTACAGAACACTCAACTACTATAAAATATTATATCTTTGGCTGTAAAACAAAAAAAAGTGGATATAAATATTTCTTGATAGCACACAGCAATTTTCAATATTAAGAGAAGATTGCTTACATATATTATTTTATCATTAAGAACTTCATAGTTTAATAATATTGGATGGGAAAGTGAAATATCAACCAGAAATTTGGAATGTTATCCAAGCAAATCATCATTTATGAAGATGAAATTGAATGTTCTATTTGCTATAGAAGTTTGATAGGCAATGATCCAAGAATACTGCCTTGCCAACATACATACTGTTTTGAATGTATTCAAAAATTTCAAGTAAAAAATTGTGAAATCTGCTGTCCAGAATGTAGACAAAATATTGAAATAAAAAATGGAGATATTGCACAACTCCCAAAACATCGATTTATTAGTCGTTTACAAGATCTAAAAAGCAGGAAAAATTTATGCAAATATCATGAAAAACAGTCAGATATGTATTACCAAACACATGGTATTCAAAGATTATGCGTTTCATGTTTGGATGACAAACATGAGACTTGTAAAACTTTCTCAATGACAAAGTTTGAGCAAATGAATAAGAAATTGAATGGAATTTTGGATGAAGAAGACAAAAGACAAACTGAAACCCTAAACAAAATTGATAGATGTGAAAGAAAGAACTTAACAACAATACTGATATTATTGACAAATTTAAAGTGAAAAACCTTGATAATAATCAAATGGAATTATTTTCAAAGCTTGAAAAACAACTGGAAGATGAGAGAAAAAAAATTATTGATATGTCTGGAAAACATATTACTTATAAGGAAGTTGAAGGTTTGATAAATCTAACAAAATCAAAACAACATGTAATAGATATAACTTTTAAAGCTTGTAATTTGAATACTATACAAAAACATTGGAAATGTATTGAAAGGTTGTTCCACAATAGAAACAATTAATCTATCTGAGAATACAGGGATAGGCAATGGAATATTCAATCTTTTCGAAGGATTTAAAATGTCATCAAATACTTTGAAAAATATTAATTTAAATTCTATGAATTTAAATAAACAACAAAGTAAAATGATTGGAAATGCCCTTAAACAATGTTCTAAAATTGAGACAGTTAATCTATCTCAGAATATTGGTATGGGAAATGGAATATCAAAGATCTGTAAAGGGCTTAAACGGTCATCATCCACTTTGAAGATTCTTATTTTGGAGGATTGTAATTTAAATGAAAAACAAAGTAGAAAGATTGGAAATTTACTAAAATATTGTTCCAGATTGGAAAAAATAAATTTATCTTGGAATATAAACATGGGAAATGGAATACTGAAGATTATTGAAGGATTGAAAACGTCATCAAATACTTTAAAGATTGTTGATTTAAATTTAACAAATTTAAAAGAAAAACAAAGTTTAAAGATTGGAAATTTTCTAAGGCATTACTCCAGAATTGAAACAATAAATCTGTCTGGCAATGAAAGGATGGGCGATAAAATAGCGAATATTTGTAATGAACTTCAAGTCATCCAATACTTTGAAGAATGTTTTTTTGGGAGGTTGTCATGACAATGTTCTTCTGAAGTTGTCAGCTGAAAAGAATTGTTTTGTCCCGAAGTACAAACAAAGGCCTATTCTATCAAAAGAATCTTATTATTTCAGAAAGTATCAATATCGTACGCTAAAGTCCTTCTTGTAGTATGGGAGAGGGGTAACATCTGCAATGAGAGAACTCATATATTAAAACTGATTAATAATATATACATAATATCCCATTGTTCCCAAATTAATATTGTATGTCAAGTGTGCACAATGCTTTTATCTGGAGCAAGTGGTAAATAAAAAAAAAGTATCTTTCCAATGAAATAACTTTCCTGCTATTGTAAAATTTTCAAAGGTAAAAAATTTTTTCAAGTTTTTTTGTAATACAGTGATTTCTATTTTTTGACATTTTTATTAAGTAAATTATATAAATAACAAAAACGATTACATTTAAACAGATTAGGCCTATCATTTCACATATTTATTGTTAATAATCTGAGATACTAAATGATGGTCTCAATAACTCAGATTTTAAAATGTACTTTTGTTGTTGACAAATCAATAGCGATTTCTCGAAAATGTTTATCTAGGCCTCTTATAATCAAGCTTATGTCTCCTATTTCCGTATCCGGTTTCATAGGAAAATAAGAAATTTCGGTTATATAATTATATATGAGCGGTTTCTCGAAAATGTTACCTAGGCTGTTTATAATCAATCTTACGTCTGCTATTTCCGTATCCGGTTTAATACGAAAGTAAGAAATTTCAGTTATATCATTGTTTTACAAAACATGTTTTCAATTGTTTGAATCAGTGAAAAATTATGTAATATTTGTTTCTATTCATTTTGGAATAACTTCTAATACAACCTATTTTTTCCATCTATTGACCAATCCGGAAATGGAATTCTGACTCTGCCAGTTGTCACCAGGGTGCTGTTGGAAATAATACACAAGCAGAGTTAAAACATTTACTTTTCAGCACAGATGTAATTTCTGGATAAAAATTTATTACGACATATTAATTGTGCTTATCAAAGAGATTGTTGGAATAGCACATCAATATTGAAAAATGGCTGAAGGGTGAGAATTTCTACTTTCACATTAGATTAAAATATTGGAATTTAAAATTGTGATGATGATTTTTTTGCATAGAAATGCCAAGGGACAACAAATTGACAAGAATTCAGTTTTCTCGTTGATTAATAAGGAGTATGAAGATGAATTAAAGGAAAGAGCAATGCTTCTGCTTATACAATCAGAAATAAATGTAATATTATAATATATATAGAAAAGTAAATTGATTTTCCCCCGATGAGTAATTTTCCTTTATTGTAGGAGTGTGTTTATCAATGGAAAATGTTTGATTGGTCTAACCAAATAGATGAAAATGTTACTTTCTTCAAGGTAATAATAAAACATAAACACATCTACGATGTTTACCAATAAACTTTTGTCCATAGAGTTTTATCGAACAAGTGAACGGGATAGTGAACACAACTCATAATGCCACATCACTCTTTTTTCATGAATGTATTAAATTTAAAAATGAGGAAAGAAACTTCAGTGAAATCTCAGTTAAATGTATAAATGCACTGGATAAAGTGTAAGTCAATATTTCTTTTGTAAACTGGTAAACTTTTACAAAATGCTTTTTTGCAGAATGTCTGAATTTATTAAATCAATACAGGAGTTTGACATGATCATACAAACATTGGTTAAAAATAATGAACTTTTAGTGCATTCCAACTTGCTTGATAATCCAAACTTGTTTATGGATAAACAGACTTCTAAGATTTTTCATGATCACCTCAAAACAGCTTCAGATATGTTATATGATGATCTTGAACAGTTAATAAACCAATTCCTGATCATCTTACTACCAACAACAGAAACAGTCAAGGCAGAAAAGCGACAGGCCACAAAGACTCCCTTTATTGTACGTTTCCTGTGCAGTGAGGCTCTGAAGGTGCCAGATTCAACAGGAATAACTGAAACAAACATCATGGAAGAGAAGCAACAATCTTCCTTTGAACTTCACAATAAAATTCCAAGAAGAGTTTTAGATTGTAATGAAATGATGAATTTCGAATTTGATCTAGGCTTAAAGAAGACTGTTGAAATTAAGGATAGACCGAAAACAGATAAGGATAACGTAGTGGCAGCCTTCAGATATTATTTACATGTTTACTTGAACGAATTCGTGTGGAATAATCACAAATTGAAATTGTTTATTAGTACAAGAGCATTTGTAATCATTTCGCAGACATCACAGGTTGTTCAAGCTAAAGCAACTATGAGCTGGCTTAGATTTTTTGGAGAAGCTGTTGAGAAACCATGGAATGAATTTAAGAATTTATTGTTAGATTATTACCATGCAAATACTGGAAGACATCTAACATCTACACAAATCAACTATTTAAGACATAGATTCAGTAAGTATTGAAAATTTTCACAAATAATATTTTCATTTTTATCTTCAATTTTTTTACCAGTGTTGGAGAATGATGACAGTACCATCACTCTTAATGATCTTTTAACAGTAAGAATAAATACTTTTTGAACATTTCATTTCACTTATCAGAATTTCTTCATACAAATAGAAAAAGTATTTTATAACAAATTTTACACCTTGGCGTTGGTTTGTGGCGTGTATCAATTCATTAAGAGCAGGAAAAGTAAATACATTTTGGAAGAGGAGGTAAAAGAAGAATAATTCTTGAGTTTTAATTCATACCATTAAAAACTAGTATGGTTTTTTATTTAGATTGGTTTATGGTTTTATAAGTAAGGGATACGCAGAAAAAATTCTTGCAGATTATGACAATGGAACCTTTCTTATCCGTTTTGCTGAGCGTGGAATGAAAGCAACTCATAGTGCAACACCAAAAGCAAATTTTACACTGGCTGTGAAACAACAAAATGAAATTTATCAACTACGGATCTTTTTGAGTTTTGAGGAATTAGATCAGAATTACTTGGATTTATTTGAGACACTAAATGAAATAGAAATCTATGAAACTAGAAGAAAACTAGTTGCCGAAGGAAACGTTGTGCTTAGTCCTATTGAAAATCAGTCATTAGAATTGAAATCTTTCAGAGAAGCCCTAAACTGTGATGATGAAGAATCATGTAAAAAATGTTTTTTCATTAATTAAAGTAATTTTAATGTATTTTTTGATCAGTTGTAGATGATTGCTATCAGGTAGAGAAGGTAAAGTATCAAGTTCGTCTTAGACCAATTGAAAGGTATATTGATTTCTTTTGTGTAAATGATAGGATGCTTTTTTTTTTATTTCTATTTAAATATTGCAGGAGTCACAGGAGTCAGTTTATTCCAGAATGTAATGATAGGCTAGATGGATTTGAAACATCTACACCTTCTGCGTAAAGCCTGCATTTGCTTGCTTTATAAAATATGCTCTCCCCTATTATGAAAACTCCACCTACATTTATTGCGTAAAATGCTTTTACGCCTAATTTTCAAGGCTCTCCTACACCTGCTGAAAACGACTTTTTGTCAATTTTGACATTTCTGAGCCATTAGAGAACATAGTTTCGGATGTAGTGGAAACTAATAATAGAGATTGCAGTCTAAATAATACCTATTTGAACAACTTTATAAATGATGGTTTCCTATATGGATTAAATGGAAATATGAATAAAATGGATCGAAATTAGCCTGCTCCTTTAATGGAAGGTTAGGTAAGGGCTGAAATGAAGAAAAGGCATTTTCCCAAAATTGTATTCTTATATGTTTGAAATATAATAGCAATATTATAATTTTTAAGCTCAATAAATATATAGTAAAATAGTCTTCAAAGTGTTGACAACCTTTATGTTTTTTAGACAGAATTTTTGACTCTAGTCCAAGTTTGCAAATAGATGGTGTACTCTGCTGAATCCATACAAGATCCAGAAATTGGTTATGGTAGATTCATAAAATTTTGGGTGGTTTTTTCAAAAGCATCCACATTTTTGTATAGATACTTTGATATTTTAAATGGTTTTAAAATATCATTCACATTAATCAGCCAACATTCTTCCTTGTTTCTCTCCACCCTTTCTCCCTTCATTAAATTGTCGTCAATGTCAATCGAAATGAACTTTGATCCAATATTACCATCCAATTGAACTTCTGAGTGAAATTTGTAATTCTTTTTCCCAATATCACCAATAAGTCCATCCATTTCTTTATAATCACTTGGTGAGAGTTTAAAACTTGCATCTAAGTGAATTTCTGATAAGGAATGTAGAGACTTTTGTATTTTAATTGTGTTTTCTGGATGTTCTTCAGATGTTATAAAGACATATTTTCCAGTAATCAGATATTGAAAATGTTTAGATTTAAAGCTAGTCTTTTGCATATTACCAGTCCAGTTAAATAATTTTCCATTGTCAAGAGTTATATAATTTGTTGAAACAGTTATTTTATTTGAATCAGATTTTATAAAAATCCTATGAATGTAGTAGTCATCCTTAAGCTGTCCATAAATTTGAATACCACTTAAACTAAAGCCAGCAATATATAAATAATCTCCAGGTGATCCAGTAACATCATAACATATGGATTTAGTAGTTGGACCTGAATAATCTAAAACAATTTGCTTAAAATGTGGATCACCTGATGCAGAAGGCCATGGATCACTATTTGGAGCAAAATAAATTGGAACATCAAGACTGAATGTAAAAGAGCCAGGCGTTTCACAACTTAATCGCATCAATGTTGACTTTGTGAATTCAAGTTTGGTAGCTTTAATACGATAAATATCTGTATCAGAGAAAGAGTTTTTGGTTGTATCTAAGTATGCTTCATAAGGATTAGGGACTGAATATCTAAAAAAGGCATAAAAGATTTACATTAACCCTAATGTGTATTTTTATTATATTTTACACTTTCAAAATAATTAGAGTAATACACACTGGCAATTCAATTTAACACCTAGAAAATAGAGCGACACAACTCTCGATGATACTTCAGAAGCTGGAATTTCTAAGGTGATTTTAAACATATCTATGTCTCCTAAATCTAGAATTGAAATTCAAATCAAAAGATGTGTTCATTTGTTTTTAGAAGTGAAACAAATTTTAAACCATTTGTTGTAAAAACTATGGATTTAAAGATAAAAGATTTAGCATCTGTTTTTCCATCAGTACATATGAAACTATGAGTAATCATCGTCTTTTCTGTTATACTTTCAAAGTGTTTAGCAGGGACATTGTGTTGAACATCATCCATTACTGATAAAGATGCTTTATAGAGCTCAGTTCCATCGGGTTTTGTTATTCTGAAGCTAAAGTAAACATTGAGATATTTAATTAAGCACTCTTTAATTTATATAATTCAGTAGTAAATCAACAAACTCGCAATTTGGAAGGCCTGAAGGTTTTGATAGAGAGATAGTTGTTCCAGATTCTTTTGCAAATATTGCTTGAAATCCTGCCTTAAATTAGCTGTAAAAAGAGTAACATTAGCTTTATTTTTTTCAAATAAAAAATGGTTTGTTTTTTACAAACAGCAAAAAATGCTTAGAAAAATCAGTGAAAATGAAACACAATCTAGTTTACTCTTCATTTTCAGTTTTTGACTCTTTTTGCCTTCAAACACACGGAAATATATATGAGGATAATTTTTTTTTAAAATACAAATACTTCTTTGTTGGATGGTTTGATTTATTTTTAGAAATCAATTGACTTGATAAAATTAATTAAAACTGTCAGTATGAAATAAAAATGATTTTTTTAGATTTTTTTCCCATTTTCTGTAAGATATTTAACTGAGTCTTATTTATTCTTCTTGAATAAGGGCAGGTGAAATTGTATTCAGATTAAATGGATATGGTAGCAAATGGCCATAAATCTATGATTTTACCTGTTGAAAATCACCATTTTGAAGTTATTTTTGGATAAGATTTTGGGTTGGGAATGAATTAGGAAGTATTTAAGCAATTGATTTGTAATTAGGTAGGTATAAACTAAAGGTTAGGAATGATGAAGTGCTTAAAACAGGGTTGTGAGCTGGGTTAGGGTTAGGGTGAAACCACAAAACTGTAGATATTTGCAACAACATTCATTTTAACCTAACCCTTTAACAAAATATGGGCTGTTTTACTTTTTTATGTGTAATATTGTGAATGATATAAAATTGTACAAGCCATTCATTTAAAATTTCAATATGACGACCTCTCTGTAATCACGTATAATGTTAACACTGTTTCTGTATGTCAAATGTTTGATTTATAGTTTAAGATATTTAGAGTAAATCATTGTGTACATAAAAGAGTTGCCTTGTATAATTTTTAGAGAACAATTAGGGCATGTGCTTTCAGATAAAAAATGCTTAATGGATGTAAAAATAACAGAAACTTACTCTCCTCATTAATTTGTACAGTAAGAATGAAAAACGAACACAAGATATCCAATGGTTCAGTTATGGAAAATGAGATAAAATATCATCCAAATATGTTGCACTTTCTTAAAAATTCCCATTCTGAGAGGTTTAATTTTTATATTTTCAAAAGACGTTTTTCTTTTGTTAAAGTTTTTATCAATAAGAAATTCTAATAATTCTAATTCTTATCATTATAGAGAGAAAATATATGTTTTTTGTTTTCTGAAATATTGATATTTTAATGTGATAGGCCTATTCATGGAAAAGTTTACAAAATTGGACAAACAGAAATTAGCATAAGAAATTATTTTTTTGAATAAAAAGTTTAAGGTGCTCTCTTTTAATCCAAACAGATATCAGCACAAAAAAATTAGAAAAAGCCATGTAGTTTTGAAGCATTTAAATTTCTTTGGACATTCATATAGGAAAAAGTTATAACTAGCAGTTTAGGTTTTAGTGCTTGGTAATATTAAACATACTTTCCCAGAAAAACTTTTAACAACAAAACAAGCAATGAATCCTCTATTTGCAACAAAACCTCCACTTGATAATGATACTCAATATTGGAAAAAACTAACAAACATTCCCTCAGATGATATCTGCTGGATATTCTATTTTGAGGAAGGGAATATCAGTTCTTATTAAAAATACTAATATATTTAAATGTTAGGATGATCCAGGCGGACCTTTACTTTGTCTTTGAAAGTTTCATAGGAATTAGAATGGTGCAACTATCGAAATAATTCTATTTCGTATCAAATAGACTCTTTGACTGTAACAGATGATGGCTACTTGGGAATTATCAAAGGAACAAGAACATGGAAAAGATTCATGCCAAAGTTGTTACATCTTATTCAATACCATATGCTGAAGACACAGGCTTATTTATTTAGAGCAGAAACATTGATGGCAAACAGATTTATACATGATAAGCTGGTGAACATTTTTCCAATAGTTCACCAGCACAAATATCACCATTTTCAAATTCATCCCAAAATTCATAAATTTTCTTCCAAATGTTGGCATAAATTATTTTTTGTATCCTACAGATCTTTTGTTCTGATAGTAGCTTTTGATAAACATCAATTAGATGACTTTTTAAATTTCTTTTAATCTTTTTAAAATGATGATTAATGATATTACCAGGAAGAAATGGAGTGGCTAATATCATCCTCATACCACTCTCCTATTATATTTTTGTAGTCTTCTACTATAGCCAAGCTCCTTTACTTGAATTTGTAAAATCAACTGAAGGATTATCAGTATTCATCTCCTGTTCATTATACAAATCATAATTAAATAGTATTTGATAATCATTTGGACTATTGCTATCAATGGCATTTTCTGCAGCTTTATCAGTATATTGTTGATCACATTTTTTATACATTTTTAAATGGCATTATGACATTCTTAAACAGACTGAGCAAAGACATTTCTCAGAGCTTGTTTAATAAATTATAAATGTTTGACAAATAAAACTACTGAAACTAACCATTAACACACTTCTTATGGTAATTATGATGACAGAGATTACATTTGAAACTAGTGTTATTTATTTTGATGTTTTTTTAGAAATATTACTTGACACCATGCTGCTTTCATGAAATGATGGGATGATTTTCAAACTTGTCGAATTTTCTTAAAATTCACTAATTATTTTTATTTAATTTCATGTTAGAATATATCTTAAACTATTCATACTTTAAATGATTCATATGTGCAAAGTCACTTGAACCAGCCTTTGTGGCTATAATATTTTGAATACTAATACCAGGAGAAAATGGTCCGCCTATATCTATTGTTGCTTTCGAAGGATCTGTAGATTCAGTGCTGAACTTGAAGAGAAAATTAAGAATATTTTAAAAAGTGCTTGTTTTTTAACTCACGTGCAAGTGACAGAACCAGAACCATCTTTTACACCAAAAGTAATTGGTGATGCTTGCTGACTTGACATTTCAATTTGTCATTGTCAGACCAAGTTCTGAAGTGAAAAAACTGCTGTGTCTGAACCTAGTGTACATGTAAAAGGTAATTTTTGCCAAGAAACTCTCAGTTATACTCCCAATTTCAGTACTTGGAACTTCGTAGGAAACATATTCTGAATTAACCAATTTTGTGACAGCATGAATTACTGTTCCGTTTGGTTTTGAAGTAGATATACTTTAAAATAGAAAGTTTAACCCATTTATATATAAAAATTTTAATACAAACCTGCATGATGGTGTTCCTGAAATTTGTCGTAGACCAATGGCTATTTTTTGTCCTTCTACACCAACAGCCTGGGTCTCAACTTTCAATTCAAATAAACAGTTGATTTTACCAGCTAACAGTAGAAATAAAAAAGAAAATATGTGAATCAGCCTCATTTTTATTTCATGATGAAAAATTTATTTTTAGCCAACTCTATTTATACATTTTAGACAATAGATATAATCGTATCATGCAATTTTCCCACGCTGGTTTTCCTGTGTAGAAATATTTTTCTTACCATGCTTAGCAGTTAGTGTATAAGTGAGCCAATACATGATGGTACAAGATGGTACAAGATATCAATAAAAATTTTGCATTTTCTATCCATTTTCAATTGCCCTGCTGGCCCTCAGATGGAATCCCTCACACCTAGAAGTATTGACACATTAATATAAATATTTGAAATAAGAGATAACAGAACTTTACAAAGAATTCCATTTTGTAAGAATAGAACTCTAACAGTAAAAAGCTCAATTCTTCAACCATTAGCTAGTTGTATAAACTTGCTTGTTTAGAACAAGAAGCTCATTTTACTCAAAACTTAATCTTTGCAATAAAGTACAAACAGTTTAACAGAAGTTCATATCAGTGAATGCAATCTTACTTGTAATATGGAATTAAGCAGCTTACAAGAAAATAGTCATATCAGAAATGGAATTTGAGAAATGTTTGATAGATTTGATCATTTGTCAATTAATCTAAAAGAAATTGATTTCAGTTCATGTGATCAAACTGAAGATCAAGTAATAGAAGAGCTTACTCTTTCATCTACTAGAAAGCAGAATGCCATTTCACTTCTGATCTTCCCATTAATTGCTTCATTTCATTTGTTGTATTAGAAAACATCTTGTATGGACCTAGCTGCTAGTTTTTACTCGATGAATATTTGTCTAAAAACAGCAAAAGCATACAATACATACAGTATAGGCAAAAAGTCCCCAGCCACCCTGTAAAATTTTTAGTTTCGATATTAAGATATACAGAATAACTACTTTTAATAGATAATAATAATGATTAATATGTATAAACTAATATCCTTTATGAAAAATTATCAAAAAATTGTTTTTCTTTTAAAAAATGCAGTTTTAGTAATTATACCTCGAAAAAAGGGGTTGGTTAAAACTGAGTCACCATCATATTGTCAAATTCTTGCTGTGTTACCCTCCATAGATCATCAACATTTGTGCACATATGTTTACCAACCCTTCCTTTTAGGTATGACCATAAATTTTCAATAGGATTTAGGTCAGGACTCTGGGCTGGCCAGTCTTGCAAGTGCCTAATGTTCTTTTCATCCAAATACCTTAAGGTACTCCTAGATGTATGGCATGGAGCACCATCCTGCATGAATACTTGGTCCCTATTATAATTCTCTAGAAAAGATTTATCAAGAATTTCTTGATATTTTTCAGAATTTAAGTTACCTTTATATAAATGTATACCTCTGCTGCCATCACTTTTTATAAAACCCCATATATTTAGGGAACCATTTGCCTCTTTAAACGTTTTTATGGCATATTTTGCTTGAAATCTATCTGCTGGATGCCTTCTGACAAACTGCCTGTGTTTTGGATATAAATTTATCCTTGTCTCATCTGAAAACACAATTGAATTAATTTGCTCTGTGCTCCAAGAGAGGAGTCTTTTGCAAAACTTTCTCCTATTTATTAAATGCCTTTTTTTTAATAGGGGTTTTTTTGCTGCAACATAGCCACTCAAGTTATGTTTCCTTAAAACATTCTTGCAAGTAGATAGGGATATTATTGAGGCTAATTTAGAGGCTGACAAAATTTTTTTGCTCCCCAGAAAGGATTTCTGCTAGATATAAGGCATAATATTCTCTCATCTTGCTCGCTTAATTTGACTGGCCTGCCACTTCTGGGTAAATCTTCAATTGTACAATGCAATTGAAACTTTTTCCAGATATTTTGGGCACTGATCCTCGAAATTTTTAGTATTTTGGCAATTTTATTCAACGATAGCCCTTCTTGGTGTTTTTCAACAACCAAATGACGAATTCCTTTATCAATGACCACCATTTTTTTGAATAACCAAAGATATAATTATAATAAGATAATTTCCTATTTGATTTATGCAGCTTAGCCCCCTAGTTTTTGATTAAATAGATGGTGACTCATTTTTAACTAACCCCTTTTTTCGAGGTATAATTACTAAAACTGCATTTTTTAAAAGAAAAACAATTTTTTGATAATTTTTTGTAAAGGATATTAGTTTCTACATATTAATAATTATTATTACCAATTCAAAGTAGTTATTCAGTATATCTTAATATGAAAACTAAAAATTTTACAGGGTGGCTGGGGACTTTTTGTCTATACTGTATTATAGCCTATAGTCTACAAAATCTAACTATTTCATGTTTTAATAATCCCCCTATGTTCAAACACATCTCCCATTTGGATCGAAGCAAGATAATCCCAATCTAATAAAAGGAGAATGGTTTTCTCAAAAATTCCCTAATGTCTTTTCTAATTTATCCAAATTATTGCAATCAACTCCCCTGTTATGATCTTTTAGTTGTCCAAACAGGTAAAAATGAGATGGGGCCAAATCAGGACTGTATGGGTGATGTGGACATACACACTGTACTCTCCTGCTGTGGGGTTGTAGGTAAATACTGGTCCAAATAGAACCGAGTTGTAAACGAAAGGTGGAATATGCCATTTTGACAGTTTAAGTTTGATAATAGCTTGATCCATTGATTGCTATGAAAAAAATCAATTTTATATGGATATATACAATTTTTTGTATAATAAAAGTATTAACATTTGAAATGTATTGTTATTAAAGTTGTTTTGTCTGTCTTTACAAGTTTTATAAAACATTTGGTATATATAAAAACACAATGGGCGTTTTCAACAAGCCGTATTTTATATGACTAAGAAAAAGGGTAATGCACCTTCGAATTAATCATCAAAATTTACTATAAAAAGAAATTTGAATTATTCCAGTGCGTTTCTGCTTTGTAAATGAGGTGAAATTTTTGAATTTTTTCATAATGCTGTAAATAAAAGTTGGTTATTTTTTTGATGAAAATAGATGACTGAAGAATCAAGAAAATTCTATGGTATTATTCAAGAACTTGTATGTAAAATATGTTTTTGCAAGTTGGCAAATACACTACTTTTACCTTGCAATCATGTTTCTTGCTGTAAAGGGTGTACACAGGGTCTTCTACCAGAGTGCCCAATTTGTAAAAACATTTCAAAAGATTTTATAATCATCAAAACTGACATGGAAAAGCTAAATTTAAATTTTGAAAAAGACGGCAATAATAAAAATTAGTAAAGAGATTTGTACTTGTGAGATAGAATTATCAAACATAAACTGAAGCAATTGGCATTTCACAGCAAATAGTTAAAAAAATCTATTGTGGCTTTTATAAATCGTATTTTATATGGGGCGTATGGAAAATTTGCTTGCCTTTTCCAAAAAATTTCCGTATGGAATTATACATACTGACAAAAATATGTAAATAATTTGTAAACTAGGAGAGGTAGAGAGTATCTGAAAACTACTCACAAAACTAGACAAAATTTCCTACATTTTAGTCAAAACGAGGCCATTGATTACCCTTCAACATAGCCCTTACAAAAAAACAGTCCATCGAATGAAAAATTTCTTTCACCACTGTAATTCCTCTCCGTTTTCAATTAGGTTAAAACGGAACCAATTATTTTTTACTTTCCAATTACAATTTTGAATATTTAAAATACAACCATAATAATAGAAATTTTGTAATTTATTATTTATTATTTTCCCATTATTCTGGCAGTGTTTATAACTGCATTTCATTGGCTGGTTTGAATTATTGGAAAAGAATTCATCTAATCCATTAAGACAATTGATAATCAATCAAGTTGGAAATATATTCAAAATGGTCTATTTTGTCAATACATTACTCATTTAATTAGCCATTCAAATAGTTCATATCATTGATTATTTTGTCTTTGATAATGATAGGCATATTACAGACTTTTTTATCAATTTCTCTAGCACAATCTTCCCTACCACTACAAACAAAATTTGAATTGATTAATTCATTACGGATACGACAGAAAACGCCCCCAAATTCATGATTTAACCCTAACCCTAACCTAGCCCTTGTCTCTCCTTAACCTTTTTGATTGCTCCTAACCCTTAGATGGAACCCCCCTAACTATAAATCAAAAGCTACTTTACCCCTCCTAACCATTTTTCAATCCGAAATGTTGCTTTCAAAAATCTCATTTGGGGACGTTTTCTGTCGGCCCCATTCATTACTATTCCTAAATACTGAGGTTATTCTTGTACTCTTTTGTTGCATATTGAAATAATTATGCTACAGTATGTAACAGGAAAGTCTTTTATGTAGAATTCTAATTTATGCAGCAAACAGAAACTTTTATTTTACTATAATAAAAAATTGATAGAAAAAGAAATTATTCAGTAAGAGACTTGTTTACAAGTGTGAAAAAAAACCTACAAATAAGTAAAATTAGCAAAAGATTTAGGATTGTTTTTTGGACAGATTTTTCACATTTAGCTGTAAGCTGTAAAGGTCGATTTAAGAAGAGTCTTTAAAGCTCTTTATGCTGTAGATTAATATTTCAAGTTGGACATGATTAGTAATATATGTTAATCTTGTGAAAACTTTTCACTGTCTTAAAATATACATCAATCACTTTCCACATTATAAAAACTTTTTGAATATAATGTATTTAACATTTCTCCCCTCTTCTCTCTCAGATATGAATATCATCTATACAATTAGGGTTGTATTTCTATTATTACTTTCTTTAAAACATGCAAAAACTGGTAATTGACTCTTGTTTGTTATAAGAATATTATTCTATTTATTAATTGTCTAATTATGTTGAATTTAGAAGGAAGATTGATTAACATTGCTGATAAGAGTGTCAACTCTACCTGCTATAGTTCTTCAGTAAAACCATCAAATAGCAAGTACAATTATAAATGTGAAAATCTACTTTCTCCTTATTGGATTAATATGGATATTTGGCAAACAAATTGTGAACCAAATTGCCAATCTCAATATGTTACAATAAATTTCAAAAAAGTTTACAATATCACTGAATTTTGTCTCTCTCAAACATTTCTTACTGTATCGAACAAGGCAAAAGCCGTTAAAATTACTTACAATGGCCATCAATCTTATACAATGACACTCAATACTGAAATTGCAATTCAATGTTTCCTTCCTAAATTCAATTTTGGTAAAGAAATAGATAGCATAGGTTTCTCTCCAATTCATAAACAGATTAATAAGGACTCTGGCTTCAGTTCAATCATTATTTATGCTAATGACAGTTCGTTATTGTTTTTAAACTAGGCCATTACAATTCAAAATTTTCTTTTACAGGTAATGTTGCTAAAGATGAGGATAGTACTCAATATTTTACAGATGTAAGTTTCAAAGGTAATGGAGCTACTTGTTCAGCTAAGTCCACACTAAGCAATATTTGGAAGTGTTCATTAGCATTGGATTTTATAAGTAGCCAGACAGTAAAGAATCAGGAGTGGTCTGCTTTTTGTAGTGGAGCTTCTTGTATTGGACAATTTATTATAGTTAACTTTGGAATATATGGCAAACCAACAATCTATTGCCTCACTAGCAGGCAGTACATTGCCAAATATATTACAAAAGTCAAGGTGGAATGAACTTCTGGTTTTTTTAAATATTTACATTTAAAGCAAACTCCTCTTCAACAATGTTTTAAATATTTAAATGAATTTATCGAAACGGGGTTTCGTCTTAAAGTGAGAGAAAAAGTTGGTAGTGGCAATGTTGGATTCGCCCAGATTCAAGTGTTTGTCAAAAGTCTATATTACATTATTACAAACTTGAATAACACACACCACTAATGTTTATGTTTAAATTTTAGCTGAAAGAGTATACTTTCTTGAGGGCAATTCCAGTTTTGCCTATCAACTTCCGCCTCAGCTTTATGACAATTTCAAAGCATTCAGTTTCAGCTTATACGGAATACAGAGCATAGAAAATTCTTGTGGAGAAATATACATTTCATTGTATTTGGGCGATAATGCAATAATGAGTATTTTTATATCAAATATTGCAAAAAGTCGTCTTATAACCTTTGATCCTGCAATGGAAATTACTGATTCAGCTGTGAGACAAAATATTAAATGCAATGAATGGAATAGGTTTTGGATATCAACGTCAAACGATATTGTTAAATTTGGTAGAGGTCTAATTTATAATGTGAATAGACTGATAAGTACTCAATTCAAAATTAATAAGCTCTCACAAATATTATGGAAGAATGCTGAAATGAATTTTAACCATAATTTAAAATTCAACGATCTAGGTAGGCTTATAATAAATTTAATTGAAATGAAGATATTTTCTTGTTGAGTATTTGTATATTTATACAAATTTTGTCTGTTTTGTTGGACAGATGGAAAAAAGATTCTCATTCATAGAAATAAGTCTTGCATTGCAGAGGAAAATGAATATTTAAATGATAAATCATTAATGACATGTATGACATTATTGTCTTCAACAACAATAATTGAAACTTTCAACTTGAATGGTCTAACTTATCATTCTAATGATATTCAACCGGAAATTGTTTTTAAATTTGATCAAAATATTCAAAATATGCAAAATATTCAAATATTTTATGAAAATGTAAACAAAGACGAATCGAATGGATTCTGTTCAATGAAAACTTCTGCAATTAGTCAAAATGGTTATCACAGATTTATTTTTGTCTGCGAAAGACAACATGACGTCATTTCAAGGTTTTATTATAGGATAACAGTAAATGACCCACTCTTATCACCTGTTGATGTATGCTATGTAAATCCTTAGGGAAATGGTTTGTGAAATATTTATTTTGTCACTTGCTGTTGTTTACAATTCCAATAAAGGTATGAGAAAAAACGTTGCAGGTGTGGGAAAAGATATTTCAAGGGTAATTGGAAACTAATGGTAATATAATGAAAATATAATAAATCTATGTTTATGAAAATGTATTAAAACTGTAAAAAGCTAACAGTGTTATATAAAGTTTTAAAGTTACTAGAATACTAACAAAGTATGTTAAGGCACTAAACCTTTTTTGTATAGGCTAACCTAATCTTCTGCACGAGGACAGCAAATGCAATACTTCTCAATAATCTGGTGTATAAATTGAATTCTTAATTCAAGTACTTTCGATGTATTGAAAAAAATCCAAAAATTTCTCACAAAAGCCTTATCTTTTAGTAAGTAGAAACTGTTTAAAATTGCTTCAGCTGAAAGAAAGAGTAATGCCAACACTTGTTTCAAAAGTCCTACCTTCTTCTTTTGCCTAGTATATTGGAATTAATAATAAAATAATTGACCAGGAGAGAAAGATTCTTGAAAAATTGTATAATCTTGTAATATTCAAGAAACCATTCAATACAAAGAATATCATACTGTTTTTTCCCAGGGACGATTTTTCTCGACCCCTTCCAATAATGTTATATTGGTAAATGCCCCTGATAATCTTTCTAATAATTCCACATCTTTCAGGAGGTTATAAAAATGTTACACAATCCATTAACTATTAATTAAATTAAAGACATGAGAAAGCACTGAAATTTCTCCACAAAAACTTCTAAAAATACGATAACATAAGAAAACTTTTTTAAAAAGTCAGGAGACAAAGTGAAAACAGACAAATAAACAAGTACAATTATCAGCGAACATTGAGAAGAAAGTTTTTATTTGCTAAGGGGTTAAATCTGAATCTTCAACAACTTAGTGGTTTACTAGCATTTTTCAGATACAACATCTCTCCTAAAGGTACTTTATTTTACATCATAAAGGAAAAGTGGGATGGTTGATATTGCTAAACAGAAAATGAATAAGACAAAATTTGTATACAATTTAAGCCTAGTTTTAGGAACATCAAATGGCTTTAATATGATAATTGCAATTAGAAGCAAGCTAAAATTTGAAAATATTATTGAAAAAATGATCAATATTCCCATCATTTTGCAGTGTATGCTGTGTCTCCGAAAGTGATCTTTTTATATACAATTCCCTCTGTACAAGGAATCCACTATTCCCAATAGGATTACATATATACCAGTTAATAAATCTCCAAATGACAAACAAATGTAGAGCAGTTTTTACTATTTATTTAATTTTATTAGTATTGATGTAATATAACTCATCCTTGCATTTGAAATAGCCTTTTGGTTGGAAATTATCTGCAATGGAAAATATATCTAAAAGTCAGACTTTTCTATCTCTTTCATATCTATGTTTCTCTCTCGTACAACAATTCATTTCATCATCAGCTAATGTGCAATGTGGAATATTTTTATCACAAATCTGCTCAATTGATATACAATAAAAATAATCTGTGCACTGGTAAAACCCTTCCCACATCTTAATTCTCTTGAGTAATTTTCTAAACTGTTGAACGTATAGAGAACTTTTGTTTGTAATCGTTCCATAGAACTATATTCTACATCGTATTTCTTATCATTGCTCTTTGTAATAATTTGCAAACAATTTGTAGACATTGAATTGAATTTATGACAAGTTCTCTCTTCATCTAAATCATCCTTTCAATGAGATCTCAAGTCACACTTCAGAGAAAGGTCGAGGCATCCCCCCACAATGGAATTGATTCTTACGAAGACAGACTGAAAAAAAATTGTATTCTTCAACTGGAATATTTTTAAAATACAGCTTATCTCATCTCATATTAATAAATGCAATTTCGGTAGAAATTAATCAACAAAATGCCAGTATTTTTCATTTAAAGAATATGTATTGAGTAAATGAGTTTCTAGTTCTAAATAAGCAATTTTAAACAACAATCTGACAGTTATAGAACTGAACTGCCAAACTGGGGAAATGTATTCCCTTTTATACATTTTCCAAAGCTTGGGTTCACTTGGTAAAAAGGACTTACGAAGTTGAAATGTAACGGTCTCATAATGCACATATAACAAAAACACGAAAACTATTTAATCAATTATGGCTAACATATAGCACTACAAAAACAAGCCTGCCTCTCCCGCATCTGTTTTTGAATAAGATGCAACAAGTTTGACATGCATTTTTTCTATATTGTTTGTTCCTTTGTTAATTTCATAGTGGCACCATCTGTTATGGCCAAAGAATCTATTTCCTATGAAATAAAGGTCTCCTTAAAGTTCTAGACTTTTCAAAGTTCTAAAGTTTAAATAACATATCTATAAAGATATTTATGTCTAATTTATTTAGGTATGTTAGAACTCTACATAGTTAAAAAATTCTTTGCATTGTTCCACAGGAACTTTCTGTAGTGCACAAAATTTAAGGTATTTTTGTCTTTCCATTACCTCAGCAACAATTGGCCTAATTACATCACTTATTTCACAATTACACATCGTAATATTAATTAAAGAAGTGCAGTTATTGTTTAAAATTTGTTCAAAAATATATCTACCAATTTCTGTTCCTAAATTATTATTATCGAAAACTAATGATTCTACTCCTTTTTGTTTACCAATTGCATCTCCAATAATATTACCAATTTCAAAATCAAATCCACAATTACCCAAATTTATATGTTTTAAATTTGAACAATTTTGATAAATATTTTGAAATATATTTCTGCAGCATTCTGTTCCTAAATTGTTGTTTTGTAAATAAAGATATTGTAGACTTTTTTGTTTACCAATTGCTTCACCAATAATATTAGTGATGTTAGAATTAAATCCACAATTACCAAATGATATTCTTGTTAAATTTCTGCAATTCTGGCTAATGTTTTCAAAAATACATTTACCAACACTTGAACCTAAATTGTTCATCTGCATAGTTAACAATGATATGTTTTTCTGTTTTCCTATAGCATCTCCAACTTCATTTCCAACATACTCAGTCAAGTTACAATTATCAAAAGCCAGTGTGCATAAATTGAAACAATTATTTTTTATATTTTCAAAAATATGTTTACCAACTTTTGATCCTAATTGGTTATTTGACAGGACTAGTGTATTTAATTTTTTTTGATTAGCAATAGCAAAACCAACAACATCTCCAATTTCTTGGTCAAATTTGCAATTATCAAAACATAGGTGTATTAAATTGAAACATTTATTTTGAATATTTTTAAATATATTTCTACCAACTTTTGATCCTAATTGGTTATTTGACAGGGCTAGTGCATTTAAATTTTTTTGTTTAGCAATAGTATTACCAAGAACATCTCCCATTTCTTGGTCAAATTTGCAATTATCAAAACATAGGTGTATTAAATTAACACATTTTTTTTGAATATTTTTGAATATATTTCCACCAACTTTTGATCCTAAATTATTATTCTGCATTGTCAGAGTTGTTAGACTGGTCAAATTCTCAAATGCATCACCAATATTTCCAACATTACATGTAATTTCACAATTGTCAAAATTAATAGCAGACAATTTAAAACAATTTTGTTTAATCATTTTAAAAATTTGTTGACTAACATTTGATCCTATTTTGTTTCCATTCAAAAGAAGTTGTTCAAGTTCCTTTTGCTGCCCAATTGCTTCACCAATTATATTACCAACTTTTGAATCAATTTCACAATCATCAAAAGCGATTATTTTCAAATTTTCACAAAAAGTCTTTATAGTATCAAATATTTTTTTACCAATAGTTGATTCTATTTTGTTGTAATGAAGATATAATGAAGTAATTTGTCTATGTTTCTCAATTATTTTAGGAATTAGATTAGCAGTTTCACTATTTAGATTACAATTAGTAAAATCCAAACATTGTAACTTGGAAGCTTTCATTATTTCAATCGCTTTAAAAGTTTCTGTAAATGAAATGTTTGGCATTTGTTGACAAAGCTTTATACTAATTAAAGATTTTTGATTTCGAATTATTGTATTTAATATATTCAATTCATCATTTCTCAACTTTTTTTGAAGTATTATTGTCTCCAAACAATTTTTTCCAGTTTGTTTAAGAATGTGTAAAAACACATCAGAATTCAAATTTAAATTTCCATCCAAATGTAAATATTTCATTTTCAAAATATCTTTAAAATCTTTCATTATCATTTCAATAAAATGTAAATTAAAATTATTTGAATTGAAAATTTCCTTTACATTTAAAGTATTTATATTGTTTATATTTGAGAAAAATGGTGAGTTCAATACTTGTAGTTTGCTAATTTTTCCAATTATTTCACAAAATGTTATAATATACTTCAAATTCCATTTACAATTGTGAATATATAATTCTTTTAAATTTGATTCTTCACATAGTTTACACAGAAACTTCTTTGTTGAATTTGAATCAAAATTATTATAGGATATATTGAGTTTTGTCAAATGAGACAAATTTTGTAGTAAGTCAGAAAAGTTTGAAAGAAATTCATTTTCCAAACAGCAACCTTCCAGACATAATTCTTTTAAAATATTTCCAAAAGTTATATTCTTTGGAAAGTTTGAATGTTGTAAAAATGTTGAATATGATAGATCAATATGTGTGAAAATTGATATTTTTGCAACTTTTTCAATATCCTCCACCTTTAAATTACAATTCTTACAATAAAATTTGAATTCTCTATAATTTAATGAAGGAATTGAATTTATTAAATCCAAAATTATATGAAATTGCTTTGAAATAAATTTTGAATTATTTAAGTTTACTTCAACTAGCTTTCTTGAATTACTTAACATTCTTTTAAAATATTTCCACATTTTTGGATTCTCTAATGAATTTTCACCAGTATCTAATGACTTTAAATTTAGAAAAGTTTCTCCAGTGTAGCCATCATCAATTTCCATATTTTTATCTTGTAGAAAATGTATTTGTGGAAGTTTTAAAATTTCCAAATTTTTCATTGATAGCAGACAATTGAAAAAGGAATTTTCCAAATTCTCTTCAATGTTATTACCTTTCAGTTCAAGATTTTCAATTTGTCTATGATTATTCAAGAATTGAATTAGTGAATTTAAATTGATTGTAGATCTAAAATCATTCATTTTTAATGATTTTAAATTATTAAAAGAAAAGTTAAAAAACTGTTGAAATACATATTCAAAAGCAATTGAATTATCCTCCATTCTAGACAGATTTAAATATTGAATATCTTCCATTATATTTTCAATGTTTTCAAATAAACTTTTTAAACTGGATTCTGTGAACAAAATAAAAACAATTAAAATCAATTGCACTTTATTGTGCTGAATCATCAACTTTTTACCTTGTAAATTATTTCCAGATAAATTAAGAAAACAAAGATTAGAACAATGCAAATCAATTGAATTTTCTCCCAAAACTTCAATATTACAATTTTTCAATGTTAATTTCTTTAAATTTTCTGATGATAGTGTAACACTTCCCATTTTTTCATTGTACTCAAATTGAATATTTGAAATATTTAATTCAACCAAATTTACCATTTCATATAATAATTTTTCAAGAATTTCTACTGAAATGGAATTTTTGACACCTCCACAAACTTTTAACGTTTTAAGTGTTCCTTTTAAAGTCGATTTGGAAATGGCAATAAACTTAAGAAAATCAATTTGAACATGAAAAAAATCAATTTCTGTAATTGAATTATTAAAAAATGAAGTAATTAGTTTCCACATTGAAATCTCCATATTTAATGAATACAGTTTAATTTCTGATAATTCACTTGATTGTTTCCTGTCTTTTAAAAGTTGAATAATTTGTTCATTTGTGTCAGAAACAATTGAAAGAATTTTAATATTAATTTTCACCAGAATAATGAAAACTTCTCTGTTCCTTTGCTGAATAAACAAGAAAACTTTCGTTAAAAGATATAAATTTTTACTTTTATCCAAAATTAATTTTAATGTTTCTGTATTTAAAACTTCATTTGGGAATTCTTTGATGATATAATTTGCTGTTAGATATTCTTGAAATGAGAAATGAATGAATTTATATTCATTTTTGTTTGTAGAAGAATTCAGTGTAGCTCTTACTTTTACTGGAGTTAATATTCCACCAAAATAATTTGTTTTTTCAAAAATTTCATTTGAATTGATTTTTTTATCATAAACTAAATTTTCAAATGCTACTTTTGAACAATATTTCATGGCTTCAATATAATTGTTACTACCTTTTTCAATACCTCTATTTGAGAGAGTAATCTTAATAACTTCCTTAAAAATTGAATATTCATCAGACAACTTTTCGTGTTTTGTTTCCTCCCATAAACCTGCAATTAAATTTGCAACAAGTGGATAACGACATATTTCTAGAATATCTTTTTTCTCTTCATTTAAATATTTAAATAGTTGATTTGACATATTTTCATATGTTAATGATGGCGTATTTTCTTCATTGAAAAATTTTCGAAAATATAATTTGACATTATATGGACTAAAGCCAATTATTTCAAAAATCCGATCATACGTTTCTATAACATATCTCATTTTCCAGTGTCTTGACCAAACAATGACTGGATACTTTATTTGATTTATCTTTGTTATTATGGAATAAAATTTTGAATTTTCATATTTCAGCTCATCGGCTCCATCTAAAAGAAGAAGTATCTTTTTTCTCTCTTTGCAATCCTTTTCATAATCAGTAAAGAAATATTGAAAAAGTTGTAAATTTACTCCAGTGTTTTCTGTAAAATTGTTTAGAAATAGTGTTTTTTCTAAATCGTCATCATCTTCTATATCAGCAAGATTGACTTTTAAAAGTAAGTAGTCTCTCAACGAATTATCACTAGTTGCCCAGTTATATAATAATTTCATCGAATGGAAAGTTTTGCCCATACCAGCATCTCCTCTTACTAGTATTCTCTGACAACCCTCTTCAATGACACATTGATAAATATCATCATCAATATCACTATTATAATTAGTACAATTATTTTGTGAATTTTTTGATGATGGAACAATTTGAACTGGTGTTAAAATGTTTTTAAAATTAATACTTGTATCATTGTACTTTTGGAATGGAAATTTTTTAATTGTTCCAAATTCTTCCATTATACATTCCTTTCTCTTTTCTAATAAATTATTCCATGTATTTTTTATTAAATTAACTAATTTATAACATTTTTCCAAGTCCATATTAAGTAATATTTCAATTAAATCTCCTGTTTTCATATGACAAATATGCTTTTTAAAAATTGATTCAAAATTCCCACACTCCTCTAATGAATCTGTTGTTACAATTCTCTTGGATTTTAAATGTGTTTCAAACAAACTAACATTCTCAAGGCAATCTTTTATAGTTGTATAATGATAGTTGAGTAGTTTATTCTCCATTTTA